GAGCAGTTTACTAATAGTGAGTACATTGGATAAATCAGTATATCATCATTATTGAGAGAAATAACGTATTTTACAAACTGTCATGAATGAAGTAAAAAGTTGTTGGCCAAAATAAAATAAAATATTCATACATTTCAACATTATAAAATGTAACATTTCAACATTATAAAATGTAACATTTCAACATTATCACATGAGAGTAAAGTTTACATCAACAAAAAAAAACTTCAAAAATTGACTATTTTTGGGTTGTCCAGATGAAATATGAGATAATATTATTTGATTTTTTAGTTTTGGTTTTTTTCAAAACACAAACAAATTTATAATCTCTAACCAAAAAAGACCTAAGATGAGAGGTTTAGAGGGGCGCACGAATTATATTAACTACAGTAGTATTTTGACGGCTATCTAAGATAATATCTAAAGGTTTAGTTTCGTGAGTGACATTACTTGAAATCAAAGGCCTACTATCAATATCCTCTATTGCCCGTGCATATTTTTTAGTCATTATAATAAGATTGTGATCTTTTTACAAGATTTCTATCAATATTCCAAATAGAGGCCCCATAATCTAACAAGATTTACTTTTATGCTATGTGGATTAAAGCAGACTTTGCATGAATTTAAAAAAATTCTTGAGAAAAGGCGCAAAGCTCTTGTCTCAAGCAAAGCGGAGGAAAAAGAATTGAATCTTGGGAAAAAAATGATATCTGACCTCAAAAAATCATGTTGATGTTGTAGTCATGGAGAATGGAGAGAAGAAATAAGAAGAAAAGAAGTAAGAAGAAGAAATAAGAAGAGTAGAATGGCAACAAAGTGACTCGGGACTAATACAAGAATTCTTTTCAGGAGAAGAGCAAAACTCTTGTTGCAAGCAAAGCGAAGAAGAAAGTAAGTAATATTGGGATTAAAAAAAATATCGCTGACAAAAATCATGTTAATGTTGTAATCATGATGAATGGCAAGAAACATAGTAGAAGATGAGAAATGAAACAAAATCAATGGTATTATCAAGGCAATTGAGCTAAAAAAGAAATGGCTGTGACGGTAGAAGAGACAGTGAAATTTGTTCAATACGCTGCAAGCACAATAGTCACGGTGAATCTTGCAATGACAGTGTGCAGAAGGGAGTTTATTCTGGTTGACTAAAAAATGATGATGGTCTGCAAGAGATCGTGAAGTTTGCTGCAGAAGAGCAGACAAAATAGTAACTCCTTAGAAACAAAAGTAGGTTGTAGGCGAATCACTAAGGATGATAACAAAAAGTAAAAAGAGGAGGAAGTAAGAGAAATAATTTTGAAAAAATACAAGAAGTTTCTTGAGGAGAAGTGCTTTCATCATAAGCAAAGTAGAGCATAAAATAATAAATCCTAGCAAAAAAATGATTTATTATGGCAAAAACTATGATGATGTCGCATTCATGGAAAATGGCGAGAAAAGAAATAAAAGGGGTATGAAAAGAAAATGACTGAAGATGAATATAAAAAAAATTCTTGAGAAGAAGTGCAAAGCTCTCACCGCAAGCAAAGTCAACAAGAAGGTTGTAAATCTTGGGAAAAAAATGTAACAAGACCTTAGAGATCATGTAAATGGTCTAAAAATATATTTATAAAATTGGACGTCAACAAGGAGGGAAAAAAAAAGCAAAAACTAGTGTATTAGGACCAAGGAGTTTCTAATATCTATGCCAATAACTTCACCATTTGTTGCATACACATCGATAACAATCATCTTTCCTGTTGGTTCAACCAAAACCATGTTGCTTCATTTCATTATCACAACCAGAATGGGGAATGGCAAGAAAAAGTAAGAACACATGGAAGACAACAAAATGACTGTTGAAGAATACGAAAAGATTTCTGAGGAGAATCGCAATCTAAGCGGAGTAGAATGTAGTTCTTTCTTGTTAGAAATAGAAGATTAATAGCAAAAATAATAATTGAGTAGGGTTCATTCAATTGTAAATTTTTTCATAACATGAGCAATACTAGAAATACTACATCATTATTTTTTGTTTCAAAGCTAGTTGAATACAATTTTGAATACATTTCTCCACCCAAAAGATACTTTTGTGTACAAAAGATGGTCCATTTCTATGACTCAAAGGTCTATATTAGCAATTGGATTGTCATCTTGAGTAAACATTTGGTTGTGAACATCTATTTTAGTGTCTCTCTTACAACCAACAGTCAGTCATAAACTACCGAGCACTGATGTAGTACTGAATTGATTGTGGAGTCGTGACTGTAACATGCTAATGAACCATAATGGACACTCAATTGGTTTTAGGGGTATCTATGTGGACTTTGAACATAATCCACTAGGAAGTTTCATGGAGATTGGGCTTCAAAACTTCATCCATACCCAACCCACAACCCCGCCGGTGTCACCATAACCCACTCATGGCACTTTTTCCATAGCCATTACCCATCCATGGCACTTGTCTATATCCAACTCATACCCATCCCCGAAATAAAGATATTCAAGAGTATTTAAAATTCACTTAGACTATTCGGTAGGTTTATGACAAGTATTAGCTATTACGGCATTAACCAAACGCAATCCAAGAGCTCAGTCAAATCATTTAACTCAATCGTTTTAAAGACGGGCTCCATCTTGAAATATAATATCTTGACATATGCAAGCGTCACCTGCGGGTCCTTTTGCAAGTACGAAAGTGTTTGCATGATCTGAGAAGTAATCAATACTAGTTACGTGTTATCAGGGACAAGCACATTGCACTTAGTGAAGCCCATTTGCATGCACGCTGTCGAGAACAATCATACATCAATTATTTCACCAAGACTCCAGTCTTTCGCAGTCAGATTCTGGCCAAGACTTGAGTATATAAATGTTCTCAAGTAAGAAGTTCATCACAGTTTTCTACTCACTTCCCTTTGATAGTGTGTTGCAGTCAGCAACAACATTCTGTGGTGGAAACCGTATGTGTTTTGCGCACACAGTTGGAACACAAGAGGTTGGAAGATGGATTCCCCAACTGCTCCAGCTTGAAGCAAGGCTCTACTACTTCTCATATTTCAGGTTTTCCATTTCAAGGTTTTTCAATCTATCTTATACATATTATCCATGTTTTTCCTATGACGGAAGATTAGATAACTCATGTGTAGTTCCAGTCACATATCGGCCATGATTGCACAAACCTCACTGGCGTGACTCTGGTCTTGTTAATCCTTACGCTTTTCATCATCAATACACACCTGGACTTATGACTGCGAGCTGTGTACTTGCTTTGCAGTAGCAAGAGAAGGTCCAGGTCTGGTCTGCTTGGACTTTTGAGGTATCTCAGAGGCACGCAGGTCCATAACGATCAGCAGATGAGCGAGGGCGTAGTCTAGCTCGGACTTTTGAGGGAGACAGTGAAGGAGTATGTCCATCTTTACTTGTCTATCTTCTGTTACATACCGACGGAGAAGAGATAGCTCATATTCATCACTAACTTCCAGCTGCAGATTCAAGTTTGGGTCCAAATGTAAATATAACCAGTAAGTTCATCCATATCCGATAATATGGGCCAGAAGAATTATTTTTATTGCAATTTAGGGCGAAGGCTGAAGCATTAGGCCCAATCATAAGTTCTGAGTTCCCTAAAGCTAGCTGAGAGAACAGATCGCGTGCCAAAGAAACGATTACTCTTAGCCTTACCACAAATATGTGAAGACCTGTGGATGACTTTTTCTGTCGCTTCTCCAAAACTTGCGATCCATCAAGACGGCTGCTGTAGCGTACCAGACAAGCAGCAGCTTTCAAATCCAGCCACGGCATATGACGATGCTGATTTGCAAACGACTTTTGACCCATTTAATCCGACGGCTTCTCGTAAATCGGTCAATTGTCTGTCTATAATGAGCCCGGCCAATTCGGCGCTCTACATCTACACTTACTGACTCTCTCGGCTCAATTACTACGAGTTCTCAAACTAACTACTTCTACATCATTCAATTTCCGCCCATCTATCAAGGGCCTGGAGTATATCTCTATTGGATAATGAGAGGGCTATCCTGGTAGATGACAACTCAGCTCTCCCACTATGTACTCTTCGCGCCAACATATTAAAACTGGCCTCTAGTTGTATGTCGAGCTGTTGGTGCGAAGGGAAGTGGTACGAAATGGAACGGGTCTTGGTATGAACAGAAAAGAGTTTTTATGATGTGTTTCAGCGAATTGAGGATGGGAGTGATACCAACGGAAGTGAATTTTTGTGATGTAAAACATATCACGAAAACTCACTTCGGTTCGTACCACTTCGCTGAAACACATTGACAGGCAGGCCATTGGCTATTGAGGTCAATTCGAGTATATATATCCAAGATTAATATCCTAAGACTTGACGTTACTATCCTCATTACAAGATTTCATGAAGTTCTCAGAGAAATACACACACAGAAATAATCACTCCTATTTCCCTAGCAAGATTAACATTTGCTCACAGATAATTCTATCTCTCAATGTGTCTCCCCGTTCTCACTCTTATTATCTTGACTTAAACTTGTACCTTGTAATAGTAAAGTATCAAAATAAAGAAATCTTGGTCAATTCCTATACAGCCCATAGAACTCATATATTCATCAACAAGTTTAAACAGAGTTAAAACTCCCAAGAGTGACATATATTGGTACTTAGGTTTTACGTCACTATTGTGAGATGTAACTCACAGTAGAGTGTTTATAACCTAATGTATGTTACTATTAGTGTTAGAATTGGATGTCACTATTGGGAGCTATGAATTTTAAAAAGAAGTATTTCATTGTGCATTACATAAATCCTAGGATGTTCTATAAGTATGTAGTTTGGTTTCAAAATCTCTTTCACATCTATATTGTTCACTACGATTAACATAAAAATTATAATTACGTTTGAATTCAGATTGATAAAGACAAAAAATCTGAGTGAAACAATTGATGATAATATAAATAGTTAAATATTTTCCTGTAGTTCTAAAAGAGTGCATTTTTGAGATATACTTTTATATAAATTTATGCTACATTTTCTTAGTTTCATATATAGAGACCATGATAGTAATTTTGAGTCTAAAATTACTCTTGAAGTTATTACTATTGGGAATAGTGACGTATTTGATCTTATTGAACAGATTTAGAAGTTGGAAACTAATGGGAGATTTAACTCGATATTAAACAATAGAAACTACAAAAACTCTAAAAGTAAAAGCCACCTGGAATTCAACCTCGTATCTCACACTATCGAAATCTCCCTTCTTAATTCGGGTTCCGATAGGGAACATATCGTTGGCTGCGGCCACTTTGGTCTCCTGCAAGAAAAGTCATAACTACAGCGGTGAGGAGAAGTCCAATCAGCACTGACGTCTGGACGTTGTACATAACGGAGCTTGGTTGCTTTGCGCACGAGGCAAACTTAAAGAGGACTTAGCAAAAAGCGACGCAGCTTCCCGGAAATCTCCAAAAGGAACTCACCAGAGGCACTGCAGGGTGGAGGCGCAGAGCTTCAGTGGCTGCGTGTGCAGATAGTGCATCCTCCTGAGACTCTGGTATGTCTGGGCAAGTTCTAAGACTCTTCTCGCCGAAACTAGCTGCATCCATGGAGATGCTCAGGTCCAGTTGCGACTGAGGATCAACCTCACAAGCACAGTAGACACTTCCACAATCCACAAGTTGTTAAGAACACCGTGGGGGAAGTATCGACTGTGCTTGAGGTTGAGGATCAACCTCAACGACTTGTGGATTTCTGCAAAGTTCGAAAGAAAAATCAGGACAGAGGAATAACTGAGGTATCCCTACCGGCGAGATGAAATTGATGACAACATCGAGCAATCGCTCATCCGTACAGGTCTGGTCCCCATCGGTGATCGACATAAAACGGGAGAAAATATCCACTCCTGTATGGTGTTGCTGCAAACCATCGCACCCACACAGACAACACCAGACTTAGCAAGGAATTATACCAACATCTTCAAGGGAGCACCGATATAGAATTTACAGTTTCATTTTGAAGCTCACCCTCTCTTTCTTCCTATCGAGAGCCAGGACGGAGGCCTGGGGACTTCAAACGCTGCATACATCGCAGTGCCCCAGCTCACGGTTCCAGTCTGATGCTCGAATCTGACAATAGGGAACGAGTTCTATTAAAACCGTGGTAGGTAGATATGATTGTTCACTCAAAGACGGATTACCTGATCGAGGGTGAATGTCGCGCTCATTTCAGCTCGGCCGGTTTCGATTACTTTGTATATGAAAGACTCAACTACGTGGATACATTTCTTCAACTTAGCCTCGCCTCCGATGTTCAGAGTGCGCTTCAATTTCCAGAACAGGTCAATGTATCTCCTGACGATCAATCTGTTAGCTTCATCGAAGGCGATTGCAAACGGGATGGCCGGCAGCGAGGGGGAAAGGCTGCCAATGTCCACTCCGAATCCCACCCTACAAATGGAGTCCAGCGTCAAGAGCATGAACAGATCCTGGTCACACCAGCAGAGAGTTGAGTCAATTATCGAGGGTCAGTTTGAGAATTTTGGAATATGCTATTAACTGATGGGGTCAAAGGTTCAGCTCGAATTTCTCAAACTGCGTTTGTTACCACGGTCTTACCTGAAGATCAACTCTTTGTCCGTTCCTGGCGGCGATGGCCGGCACTTGCACGAGCCTCAAAGCCTCAGTGCGGAACGCATGGATGCTATACTCACGGAGCTTGGACGACGCGAACTCTAGAATAGCCACTTTACACTGGTGGCTATTCTAGAGCATGTCCGAGCATGGCCCCAAACCTCTCTCTAATCAATTCTCTCTAATCAGGTCTCCCTGTCAAACTGGATGAACACATCTCAGCCTATCAGTCATGGAATCATCTCAAGCAATTCCAGATCGCAGACTCATTCCCGCTTCACAAATCCAGCTCTACTAGCTGCGTAATCACTTACATGCTCCCATGAGCGTAGTCGGGTGCGCTTCCCTCACCCCCACAAGCGCACCTTCTAATACTACACTACTCTGGACTACGAGCGAGGGTGGCGGCGCACCCTCGTTGCAGGTCCCGCTGGTTGTCGCAAGCTTCGATCCACCTGCGACTGTACGATAAACCTCCGAAATCCGAAATAATTGGCACCAAACAGACTTACGGCTCCGCCAATGAATGCAAGTTACAAGCGTTTACACACACGAGGACTCAACTGGACTGAGCTACTGACCTCGGGTAGGCCAGACTAAACTGGACGAGACGTTTTCTTAGAGATTGACTACCTGACTTGGGAGATAAGAGAGTTAGCACACCTTGGGATAGTTGCTGAAATTGGTTTTGAGAATGTTCTCGACGTTGCGAGGGTCCACTCTGAAAGTATTGTTCATAGTGACCATTGGCACGGAGGACGTCAGGCACCCTTTCTTGTGATAATCATGCAACCAATCGTGCATCCTATCAAAATTCCGAGCTTGCTCTATTATACATCCGATGAAGATCCATTTCTTTGGACCTTTATGTTTTCGCTGCACGACTGTTTTGGACGAGTGACTGTTTTGGATGAGTGACGGTGCACCATATGATCCAAGTCTGGAGTAACATCGCGGCTCCGATATCTGGTGGATGGTCAGACCGGAAGTTGCGAAGAACATTGAAGAATACACAAGAGAGTATCAAGTCAGTAGAATGCCTGCGGCTATTGTAGCATTCTACTCACTTGGTACTGTAAATGTACTTCTCCAGTGTACTCCGCATCCGGTCTGAAGACTCCCATCTTGCTCTATGAAGCACAAAGATCAGGAACAGTATCCCCGGCGCATGCACCGCGCTACCCTCTACTGATCACAGCCCGAGGGCTCGACCAGCTCTTCTTGGCTGGCTCTCCTTTCGGATCTTGCTTTCTCCTCCCTTACTCACTCCTTCACTGCTCACTAGCTTCCAGGTCCTCTGTCTGAGGCCGAGCTTCCTTGATCCCTTGATTCTCTCCACCTATTTGCAATGCTCGCTCGCTCAATGCCTGCTGTACTACTGCAGTAGACATCCCAACGTTAAACGCCAGAATCGTGTGCTTATGCTCTCGCTCTGCACCATACTAGCGGTGCAGACCCAAAGATGAAAGCTCTGAATGTGGCTCTACTGTGTGGACTCTTGGAATTTCTACTCAATCTCCATGCGTTCCTTGTCCTCCAGCCTCGATCATCACTTCAACTTACTAACAGCCAGAACGTGCTTACACCAACTAATCACATTGTCTTATGTTCAGTAACGATTATGAGGTTTGAACGGGCTTACACCAACTAATCACATTGTCTTACTTCGGTAACGATTATGAAGTTCGTTAGTGAACTAGACGGTGATTTTACTTTCTTTGGTTTCGTTGAATGCGTTACTGGGTACTCTCCCTGCCATCTCGACTCTATCTCTTCCTTCTAAAAGACAGGGCTCCTCCGCTGCGTCCGGAAACTATCATTTGATCCACTTCTCATCCTATTTCCATTTGTAGTACTCAATTTCTTCTTTCGCTTACACTGCGTACCCATTCTCCAATCGACCCGCCCACCTCCTCGCGCGAACAGCCCAACACAGATGTTCTATCTCTATGTACCGTTCCGGAAGTTACTACAAATCTCCTTCGCGCTCTGGCGCCTGCTCGTGCGAGAGAAATGCGGACGATGTCGGCCTTTTACCATGGAGACGTTCTGCGTCCATGTATTGTTACGGAAGTTTCTAAATGTCGCCGTCGCCTTCTGACGCTCAAATTTAAATGCTCGAGCAGCTAAGAAGTATCAAATGCCAGCTTACGTTGTAAGTGATGATTATAACTCACAGATTATCAAATATATTCATTCATTCTTTATTGGGCATCACTTGGACTTTGGATTCATACCTTCCCTTCACTAGTCATGAATGAATTGGTCTAGGACGCGAGATAGCTGAAAAAGGTACGCAGGCATTGTTAGGAGAGCGTGGATTGGTCTGGCTCCATCCCTACAGACATAGTAGAGCAGGAAGCATGAAAGTTGATTATGTAATGCATAGGTGAAAGTAATACAAAAACGGTCTGGCCGTAACTTCGACAAAAAGTGAGTGTTATTCGGCGCTGAAGATAACTATCATATTCCAACTTGCGCTACACTGAGAGAGAACTCTATTGTGAATGCCAATTCACATAGTTGTCTACAAGTAAGAACATGCAAAGGAAATGTGTTATGAAGGGTTTCATGCATACAATAATTTGCTCTTACAATCTTACTTTCTACATTCTACTTAACATCGAAAAATTCGTCCCTAATAACCTTCGTACCAAGCGATTTCCATCCACTAAACTGTGCACAAGAAAACATATATTGAAACGTTCGTTCCATTCGTTACTTTTCATAAATACTAGTCTTGCTATAATCAAGATCTCTCAATCAACAGATCGTCAAGTGTATGTTATACAAGCACCTTGATTTGTTGTACGATTTTTTTCATTAAGAGATATGAAAATGGCATATATTCAATTTAATCTCATGTTTTGGATGTCTTGCATGATATGTAAATCTCGCTGTAATGGGTTTGGCTTTGGTTTAGAGCATTCATAAGCTTATCGACCTTAAAATATGACAAATATTGAGGCATGAAGTTTCACATAACATTCAATACATGTTTTGAGTCTGTTCATAAAATACTACATGAACTGTTTTAAAACATGGTGGAAACCAAAAAATTGTAAGACCCTGTTTCAAGTCAAGTGAGTACGTGAAATGATATATTCAGCCGTTTTATAGTTCACTTTTACAACAGGGAAAGATATTAAAATACCTTAATCTTGGTCTTACTTTGAGTAGGAATTGTCTGTTGGGGCTTTTGAATTCAAATTGCGATAGATCTTGGTGTATGATTTTATTTTCTCTCTTGCCTGTTACCCTCTTTTTTTTAAAATAAAATTGGTGCGATTAATTACACTTTCTGTCAGATGCGCAATGGTTGTTGAATGATCTTGCTACAGGATTCCAACCCGAAATAATTCCGTGTCACCATCCTTCCTACCCTTGGATATCTTGGTTCCCTAATCTTTAGTTCTGGACATTTCAGATTATGATCTTCCATATTATTCAGCTTCTTAAGCCAGATATAATCTTTAGACTGGGTTTTACGGTGCTTTTCGCCTAGATCCTACTAATAAATCAGCATCAAGATCCTACGCCTCAATATCTTTTGTTTTGCAATTCTATACTTTCAAGGACATCTCTTCTCCGAATGTGGTCATAGTTACTTCCTCCTCATCTGACGTATTCTTTCCGACCTATTGTATGTATCTTCAACCTCCACATCTTCATCCGATCACTTCAATTTCTTTGTGATACTTCAGCTCTTTAGCAATTGACGAACCATATTTCAACATACGAATTGGGAACAAAGATAAATATATTTCTCTCTTTTCTCTCTTGTCCTCTCGACCTTTCATTCAACACTTCCACATCATGAGCAAAAGTCTCCCCCTCATTCATCTGAAATTTTCTTCAAAAGTCATTATCATAATACGCAATGTATGCGTACTTAGACTAACAAACACTGAGGTGATAATAGCTGGTTTCATGTAATGATTTATGTTGTAATGTTATTTGATCAAGTCCGTCTTGTTTCCATTGCTAACTTCCATCCCTTAACATCAAACCATTTGAATCCAGTACACGACCATCAACTCAGGTTTGTAAATATGAATTATCGTAAGCGAGTCTTTCTTTCTTCATTTGTGGCATTTATATCAAGGCCTCCTTGCACCTCCCCAGGCTTATCTTCCGAAGAGCGTTCCTCATACCGGACTTGATTTAGACTATCTTGTTAATTGTTTCTTTTCGCCAACTCACACCCCGTCAGTTTAACTTCGCGCTAAGATCTTGATGCAGAGATTTAATTTCGGCTCTATCCGTAGAACACACTTTTGCTACTTTTGCTTCTCTTGACAGGTCTTTCATTTAATGCTGTAAACTTCATTGCTCTTCTTGCCATGCTTCAATTCGCCCTTCGTCTCCAATTGCCTAGGTCTTCAGAGTTGTTCTTCAGGAACATATTCATCTTTCTCACGATCTGATGTGTACGATAATCCTTAATCTTATACCCTTAAACAACCGTATGGAAACAACATGAACCGAAAATGAGAAGATTTATTAAGATTAAATTAGTTTTTCTTTTCCTTCACCAAACCAGGTGCATCCATTCAAATGTTATGCTTCATGAAACCTAGCGATGTGTCCTGATGAAGCAAGCTTGGTTATGACTTCAGATATGTATTGGTTGTGACCGGTTGCAGGTTGAAATTTAATAATCGCAACACCGAGTGAGCTTTTTGCTCAGGTCTGTCTCAATGTGCACTTAATCACTCGACCATTCACCTGATGTATTGTTAGACAGGGAGCCGGACCTTTTGACCCAGATGTAATGATCTTCACAAGTTCCCAAGGCTCAGGGCAGATCGGATCCTCAGACAATACACATGATCTCTTCTCCTCGATAGATGTAAGGTCTATCTTCTTCATGCAAAACAGCGCAGTATCTCATGTGAATGAGTCAGTAAGTGAGTGTAGAATGTGGAGAGACATGTCCATTGTTCACCATCAGAGCTTCTGACAAGAAAATTGGAAGGTCGTGTCAGTCACCAACCGGGGATCACGAAGTAGAATCACAGATAAATGAAACTCATTGAATCTACCACGGCGTCACTTCTGTAATCCAACATCGATACGCTCGCTCCTTGGTACACGTGACTGGTAGGAGGGTGATAATGAATGTACCGTCTTCTCCTCGAAATGAAAGATGCCGATGCCGTACAAAAGAGGGAAGATGCGCATCATGTTTGAGCAATGAATGACCTCCATGTGGGCATACGATTTTGAGCAATTTCTGATTCGGAGCCTTGTTCCAACTGCTGCACGTAAAAGGTATCCTGAGACCGATGCTCCTTCCAGATAAATTCGATGTCCAATTTCAGAGTTATCTCAAGCCTGTGCTATGGACGGGCGACTAGTTGTCAAGTCTACCACGTCAAATATTGTGCTTCCCAAGGTGCAGCTGGCCACATGATACGCACCATGTTTGAGCAATGAATGACCTCCATGGGGCATACGAGTTTGAGCAATCTTCCTTGTTCCAACTGCTGCACGTCAAAGGTGTCCTGAGACCGATGTTCCTTCCAGACAAGTTTGAGGTCCAATTTCAGAGTTGTCTCACGCCTGTGTACAGTGAAGGACGGGCGACTAGTTGTCAAGTCTACTACGTCAACTATTGTGGTTTCCACGGAGTGCACTCTGATTACAAAATCTACAAAGAGCGACCATTCATGGAAATTTGCAATCCTCCTCCCAAATTGCGCCTAATTAGAAACTAAAAAAATTGTAGCAGCTTTCGAGGACTTCAATGGCATCAGCCGAATCTTGAAATTCTCCCATTTCACGGCCCATCAGTCAATTCTAGAAGCTTTTGAAGGTGAAGAGAACGTGCACATCATCGACACTGACATCTGCAAGGACTCCAGTAGCTGGCTTTCTTTCACATTCTCGCTGCCAGACCCGTTTGTCCACCCGGAGTGCGCATGACTGGCCTGGGTACGTCCGTGGAAGCCCTGGAAGCGACAGGGAGAAGGCTGTCGTGGACACCGTGGAGCAGCAGCTTCTCTCATGTGAGATCAAGAACATCCTAGCGGTAGGCGGACCTGCGAGGTTTCCCTGCGAGGACTACACTCCCGTCGAGCGAAACGGAACGCTGAAGCTCAGACGGAAAGAGCTGTGCCTCTTCACAGCATTAGCATGGAGAAATAGTTGAGAAGTGCACAATTGGTGGCTTCTGGATCTTGGCAATGATTGCAATTGTCAGGAATTCTTCTGTAAATAGACCAGCGGATTAATCGCAGAAACTGTAACATACATGTAGCTAGAGAAGAGTATTTTTGGAGTGTGTAAGAGTGAGTGTTTCAGATTTTAAGACACAACCAGTCGATCGACCACTCAATGCCTATTAACTAGATGATCATATAGTTTGCACTTTTCTATACTAAGAAATTGATGGATCTCGACAACAGCTCTTTCAGTAGACTGCTAACATTTAAGACGACTGGCTCCTTTTCATGGATAGAGAGCGGGTGAATCTATGTAACACGTGCATGTGAGAGTTTCACGCTTGTAGAATTTACACAACATCAACAGATCTAGAAAGTCAGTCAACAAGTTGAGCTAACGACAATTTGAACGCCCAAGAGTTTAATGTTATGTCAACTTCCCATGCTAGAGTTCAATCAATGCTTTGATTCTCCGATATCGACTAGACCTCTCTGAGCACTCTCTAGTTATTTTCTCCACTTTCTTTCGATGCTTAGTTGAAATTGTGCGTCCATAGACAGTCCTATACTTGGGCTGCATTAGGTGTAAATTTCGAGTCCTGGTGTACAATTTTTAGAAATTTATTCCTAAATCTTTGATCACTCAAGAGTTCTCTTGAGTGATCAAAGAATGCTTAACAAAAGAACTCTGTTCGAGTTTTAGTGCTGGGGCTCGCTGCATAGGCGTCGTTCGGTTCGAATTCCCGGACTCGGCCATCATCATACGCAGTGATGAGGTCGGGGGTTTATATTGCGCTATCCTGGTGCGAGATTCTTATCTGAAGCTCGTCGAGCTCCGGCCTGCTGGAGGTGCACGAGATGTATCAGAAGCGCGCGTTGCAGCTCGGCAAGTGTCTCGCAGCGTTTTCTTGATGATAAGGAAGGAACTGTACTGTTCTATCTTCCTTCGGAGGATAGCACGTAGACTAAGCTACAGTACTAATTCTAAGATCCATATATCTTATACATATTATCCTATAATGGAGAATGAGATAACTCATGTGTATAGATCCAATCACATATCGGCCATGACTGCACATACGTCACTGGTTCTTACCAGTGACGTATGTGCAGTCAAGAACCAGAGTCACTGGCGTGACTCTGGTTCTTGTCAATCCGTACGCTTTTCATCATCAATACACACCTGCACTTATGACTGACGCGCTGTGAACTTGCTTTGCAATAGCAGGAGAAGGTCCAGGTCTGGTCTGCTTGGACTTTTGAGAGAGACAGTGGAGTAGTATGTCCATCTTTACTTGTCTATCTTCTGCTACGTACTGAGGGAGAAGAGATAGCTCATATTCAACACTAACAACCCGCTGCAGAGTCAAGTTTGCCTCCAGATGTAATACAACCATGAAGTTAATCCATATCCGATCATATGGGCCAAAAGTATTGTTTTTATTGCAAATCAGGGTGAAGGCTGAAGCCTTCTCCCGAGTCCTAAGTTCTGAGTATGCTAAAGCTAGCTGAGAGAAGAGATCGCGTGACAAAGAAACGATTACTCTTAGCCTCACCACAGATCTTTGAAGACTGTGGATGACTTTTTCTGTCGCTTCTCCAAAACTTGCGCTCCATTTCGCTCCATCAAGACGGCTGCTGTAGCGTACCAGACAAGCAGCAGCTTTCAAATCCAGCCACTGCACATGACGATGCTGATTTGCAAACGCCTTTTGACCCATTGAGTCCGACATAGTTAGTCGTGAATCGGTCAATTGTCTGTCTATAATGAGCCTTGCCAATTCAGCGCTCTACATCTACACTTACTGACTGTCTCGGCTCAATTACTATGAGTTCTAAAACTAACTACTTCTACATCGTTCAATCTCCGCCCATCTATGAAGGGCCTGGAGAAATCTCTTTTGGATAATGAGAGGGCTATCCTGGCAAATGACAACTCAGCTCTCCCACTATCCCCATATGTACGCGCCAACATGTTAAAACTCGCCTCCAGCTGTATGTCGAGCTGTTGGTGGTTCTACACGTCACAATAGCTCACTTCGCTGAAACATTCACTGGCAGGCCATTGGCTATGAAGAGGACAACCATGAGGCTGTAGTTGGGCACCTCGTTCCGCTCAAGCTGGAACTTGAAGAACATAAGCAGAATGACGGTGGTTAACTTCATCTGCAAATATGATGAGTCCTTTCCCAAGCACATCCTGGGACCAGCCTGCAATTCATCACGACACAACCACGGCCACCCTCAGCACCGTGACATAGTCATGACAATAGCCCACTTAATTGCCGGTCAGGCCGAGCCATGCCGGAAATGAAATCGATTTAAAGCAGGTACATTACGCCTCGCGATCCAACATCTGTAAAGTCAAGTCACCAGAGGATTTGAAGGAGAAAAGAAAGAAGACAACAATCACACAACTCAGGGGATCTCTGAGGGAACAGAGATAACAGAGGGCGACCAGTGCACTTCACCTGAAATGCAGTCAGCTTAAATGGAGACTCGGGCTGGTAGACTCCATTCCTCAGCCACCTTTCTGGCTTGAACTCCGCGACATCAGAGCCCCACAGATATTCGAGCCTTCCCATCGAATAGGAAGAGTAGCTAACGAACTCTCCCTTCCTGATTGGGGTTCCGTCAGGGAAGGTGTCGTTGGCTGCGGCCACTTTGGTCTCCTGCAAGAAAAGTCATAAGTACAACGGTGAGGCACAGTCCAATCAGCACTGAACTCTGAACGTTGTACATAACGGAGATTGGTTGCTTTGCGCACGCGGCTGCTCAGACGAGGCAAACTTAAAGAGGACGTAGCAAAAAGCGACGCAGCTTCCCGGAATCTCTAAAAGGAGCTCGGATGCGTGCAGCTCACCAGAGGCACTGCAGGGTAGAGGCGCAGAGCTTCGGTGATGGCTGCGTGCAGATACTGCATCCTTGTGAGACTTTGGTACGTCAGCAGCTGCGCGAATTCGATGACTCTCTCGCCGAAACGAGCTTCATCCAGGGACCTCAGGTGCTGAGAATCAACCCCAAGCACACTAGATACTTCTTCGAGTATCTTCTCCACTACTTGTGGATTCCTGCAAAGTTCGAAAAAGAACCACGACAGCGTAACAGCTGTGGTGTCTCTTCCAGCGATTAAAAAATTGATTACAACATCGCGCAATCGCTCATCGGTGTAGGTCTGGTTCTCATCGGTGATGGACATAAAGCGGGACAAAATATCCACTCCGGTATGCTGTTGCTGCAAAATATCGCACCCACCCGACAACACCAGACTTAGCAGCGAGGAATTTTACCAACATCTTCAAGGGAGCACTGAGAGAGAATTTTACAGTATCATTTTGAAGCTCTCCCTTTCTTTCTCTCTAATCGAGAGCCAGGACGGAGGCCTGGGGACTTCAAACGCTCCATGCATCGCAGGGCCCCAGCTCACGGATCCAGTCGGATGCTGGAATCTGACAATAGGGGAACGAGTTCTAAAAAAACCGGGGTATGTGGATATGATTGCTCACTCAAAGACGGATTACCTGATCGAGGGTGGATGCCACGCTCATTTCAGCTCGGCGGGTTTCGATAACTTTGTAGATGAAAGACTCAACTACGTCGATACATTTCTTCAGCTTAGCCTCACTTCCGATGTTCAGAGTGCGCTTCAATTTCCAGAACAGGTCGATGTATCTCCTGACGATCAACCTGTTAGCTTCATCGAATGCGATTGCAAACGGGATGGCCGGCAGCGAGGGGCAAAGGCTGCTAATGTCCACTCCAAATCCCACCCTACAAATGGAGTCCAGCGTCAAGCGCATGAACAGATCCTGGTCACACCAGCAGAGCGTTGAATCAATTATCGAGGGTCAGTTTGAGGATTTTGGAATAAGCCTCTAACGGATGGGGGCAAAGCTTCAGCTCGAATTTCTCAAACTGCGTTCGTTACCACCGTCTTACCTGAAGATCAACTCTTTGTCCGTTCCTGGCGGCGATGGCCAGCACTTGCACGAGCTTCAAAGCCTCAGTGCGGAACGCATGGATGCTATACTCACGCAGCTTGGACGACGCGAACTCTAGAATAGCCACTTTACGCTGGTGCCTCCACATGTCGCCATCGACGTTGAAAATTCCATGTCCGAGCATGTCCCCAAACCTCTCTCTAATCAGGTCTCCCTGTCAAATTGGATGAACACATTTCCGCCTATCAGTCATGGAATCATCTCAAGCAATTCCAGATCAAAGACTCATTCCTGCTGTACAAATCCAGCTCGAGCTCTACTCGCCACGTAAACACTTACTTGCTCCCATGAGCGTGGGTCCCACCCTCCAGCGTAGGGTGCGAGGGTGCGCGCTTCCATCGCCCCCACTAGCGCACCTTCTAATACTACACTATTCTGGACTACGAGCGAGGGAGGCGGCGCACCCTCGTCGCAGGTCCCGCTGGTTGTCGCAAGCTTCGATCCACCTGCGACTGTACGAAACCTCCGGGGAAAAAAAAAACCCTCCCAAACCCGAAATAATTTGCACCAAACAGACTGACTGCTTCGCCAATGAATGCAAGTTACAAGCGATTACACACACGAGGACTCAACTGGACTGAGCTACTGACCTCGGGTAAGCCAGACTGAACTGGACGAGACGTTTTCTCAGAGATTGATTACATGACTTGGGAGTTAAGAGAGTGAGCACACCTTGGGATAGTTGCTGAAATTGGTTTTGAGGATGTGTTCGACGTTGCGAGGGTCCACTGTGAAAGTATTGTTCATAGTGATCATTGGCACTGAGAACGTTAGGCACCCTTTCTTGTGATAATCATGCAACCAATCGTGCATCCTACCAAAATTTCGAGCTTGCTCGATTGTACATCCGATTAAAATCCATTTCTTTGGACCTTTATGTTTTCGCTGCACGACTGTTTTGGACGAGTGACGGTGCACCCATATGATCACAGTCAGCAGGATCATCGTGGCTACGATAGCCACCGGCATGATCTTCATTTGATTTGAAAATTCTTCGGGTCCGACGACCCCCATCTTGCTCGATGAAACACAGAGATCAGAAAAAGTAGCCCCGGCGCATGCACCGCTCTACACAACCCGAAGGCTCGACCAGCTCTTCTTCGTGCTCGTCTGGTTCTCCCTTCGGATCTTGTTTTCTCCTCCCTTACTCACTCCTTCACTGCTGTACTACTGCTGTAGAAATCCCAACGCTAATTGTGTGCTTAGTGCTCTCGCTCATATGGTGCAGATCCAAAGATGAAAGCTCTAAATGTGGCTAGCCTGTGTGGACCCTTGGAATTTCTACTCAATCTCCATGCGTTCCTTGTCTTCCAGCCTCGATCATCACTTCAACTTACTAACAGCTAGAACGGGCTTAGACCAACTAATCACATTGTTCAGTAACGATTATGAGGCTTCAACGGGCTTACACCAACTAATCACATTGTCTTATGTTCAGTAACGATTATGAGGTTTGAACGGGCTTACACCAACTAATCACATTGTCTTATGCTTAGTAACGATTATGAGGTTTGAACGGGCTTACACCAACTAATCACATTGTCTTATGTTTGGTAACGATTATGAAGTTCGTTAGTGAACTAGACGGTGAGTTTACTTTCTTTGGTTCCGTTGAATGCGTTACTGCTCAAATTTAAATGCTGGAGCAGCTAAGAATTATCAAGCATCAGCTTACGTTGGGAGTGTTGATTATAATTAACAGATTATCAAATTTATTTATTCATCCAAGAGCGTTATCGGATGACGTCGCTCCCTCAGATACCAGAGCACATTCATTATTGGGCCTCACTTGGACTTTGGATTCATACCTTCCATTCACTAGTCATGATTAAATTGGTCTAGGACGCGAGATAGCTGGAAAGGTACGCAGCCATTGTTAGGAAAGCGTGGATTGGTCTGGCTCCATCCCTACAGACATAGTAGGGCAGGAAGCATGAAAGTTGATGATGTAATGGGGCATGTACGCACGTTGATGACATCTACAAACAGATGATGTCTGAGAGCATCAACGCTGTGATTGTCAGATGACTGGGTCTCCTCTCTTTATCCGTTTTCGACTGCAAGTCCATGTTTATGTTCAAAAATGTTCTTCCTGCCAGGGATTTTATGGTCGCCATGCACTGCTTCTATAATTAAGAACAACACAGATTTTCTAACAAAAGGTGCACATAATTCGAAACTCCTCCGATATCTGTATTACGATTGAGCTTTCTGAAATCCACTCAGCTCTCAATAGAGACGACGTTTGCTCTTTCCTAGCCTCAAGCTACTCGCAATGACTGATAACAAGTTACCACCAGGATGCCCTACCAGGAATTCGAGTTCTGCTTAAAAGTGGTTGTACTAGTTTATCCCAACTTAAAATCTCATCTACAGTATATCAGTTGGTACTATGCCAGCGTAGAAGCATTTACAATGCGCTGTATTCTGAAACACGATTCCCACTACATTCTCTGTCATCCTCACGGCAGGGAGCGATGGGGTGCCCTCCTATGAATTTCTCATCCCTGCCCCTCCCTAATCTGCCTTCGATAATCGTCCACTGATGTACATGTGCTGAGATTACTATATGCCCACCACTTCAGCTAAGATGAAACTCGGAGTCGCTCGACGGCCGCAGCTATTCGTAGAGGAAGTCTAGTAAGCAAGCTGACCGTCAACGTTTCCCTGGGGTCGTAGCTGCAAACGACGAACAAGACACCAGATGGACAAGTGGCCGACCCGCATCCAAGTGCCACTGTGTCGCTCCACACGACTTGTTGCCAAGAGTGCGACCTCTGTCAAAACCCGCGAGGCTAGTTCGCAAGATCTAGAAATCTCTGAAAATCAAACTACGGCGGAAAGCCATGGAAACACAAACTTAGCGCACACCAGGCGAGAAATATTACAAAGTTTTTGATGTATGTAAAGTTTTGCTTCTTTTTTTGCGTACTCTTGAGAAAGAAGTATTCAATAAGTATGACTTTGAATCTTCTTTTGAGTATTAATTTCTTATGAAATTGTAGATCACGTTATCAAGTCAAAGTGAGCTATATTTTTCAAAATAAGATTAAGAAAATGTGAACATAGTTTGTACAGAAAAATAATAAGCAAGATTTTTGTTGTCTTTAGATTATTATGCGATATAATAATCTAAAATGATTATGATAGATTAATTTCTTGCTCTTGATTTGATTTATACATTCGTTGTGCTCTTGTAACTTTCAACATTTTTTTGATATGCTTATCGCTGTTTATTTGTTTCAGGTTATTCAGCTCCATGTTTTGTATATATGTTATGTATGTTTCGTTGTCTTGTCTTTTTCAGCTTTTAGGCGTGATGTTTGAAATTTAATAAGAAACTTAGTTAAGTATTAAGTAACATAATTTTCTCTATAAAAATCATGATTTTGATTTTTATATAGCTAATAATGATTTTAGTATTTGTTCATCTTATTAAAATTATTTGATCGGTTGTGACACTTTTTGAAATTGTGTAAAGCTTAATTTATGTAAATTCTGAAATACCTAAATCTCCTCGAGGTGAATGTTTGAACTTACATTGATCAAAAGTAAGTTGAAGTAACAAATGAGGGAAAATCGAAAACGAGATTTCTTGAAGATGTGGATTTACAGTCTATATTCACACTGTTGCATTACATTCTAATCTGCATCTATAATTATAGTTCAAGATGTCTTATAAGAATGTTGTAGTCATCTCAGTGAAAGTGTGCTCAGTTCATCTCGATTCAAAGTGGTATGACAAGCGATATTTAATGTTATCTGCATCAAAGTGTTATGTTATCATTTGAGAGGTATCTTAGATATTTTGGCCATTGTTTTGAAAGGTGAATGAGAAAGTGTAAAGCGATATGTTAATGCAGAAAATGCAAGATTTTGAATAGCCAACAACGAAGCAAGTCATTTCTGTTTATGATGGCTGGTGGATATATCAGCTAGAGATCTAATTTTCCCTCAAGTGAGGTTCAATAGAAACAGAGTACACTGTAAGAGAGGAGGCAATGGAGGACCAAGTTTGGACTTGAAGTCTAAAACCTAAGATGTATATTGAAAATGATAAGATAACGTTGAGTTATGATAGCCAAACTTATATACACCACCCAAGATAAAAATACAATGAGGTGCTATTTATTTGGTCCAGTGGAGTGATTGAGCCTAGCAAGTTTTAGTAGGAGAAGATCGCTAATGCAATGGATATGCAAACTCTGATATGGACTGAGCTTGTTCGCTATGAGGTGATGATGAATAACATAAGGTGAATACAAAAAACAATAGCATGTGAAGATTTTTGATCTGACTCTCGAATTTTACGTTGTGTACATCATGCTCTCGTGATGCCCTCACGATTTTCATTATATTTTAGTACATCGTGGGAGACCCGTCCTCGACACTTGACGCAAGCTGTGATCCAACATGCAACTTCATCCCAAGAAACTCCCACCTGTTACCACTAGCATCAAGAGGAGCATCGCCGGACACGGGATGGCTCCACGTGTGCTGATCGATGGAGCAGGTTCGACGTTTCAATTTGGGGTCTCAGAAACGCTACAGTTTGTCCGTATATTTGGAAGTCATGTCAGACGTAAATCACTCAGCTGATTGGAATTCAATTGTACAATAGACAGATACATTTCGACATGCATTCTGTGACTGTGACGGGACGTAAGAATCTACTCGCTACTCTATGGATCGACATCTCTAACCTGAATCTCCTACTCAAGCTCAAACTATGTCTCTACAATAGCGACTGGCAGTTTACATTCATACGATACAAGGTCAAAACTTCACGTTTGCAGCTACTCTTGGTAGTGCTGTACACCCACTCAACTCCGTGGCGACTGAGTTGCCGTGGTATGGTTAGAATCCAGAAGTATCCAGTAGGAAAGGTAACAATCAGCTACTGCATGCTTCACCAGATTCTTTAATCTTTTTCTACAAGTACGTAACAATCCAAAGGAAGCTTGTGGGCACATAAGTTCCGGGGTATCAAAAGTAAGCGGAAGTTGAATTCTCTCTATTGCGATTTTTCGTTTTCGTTTTCTTTTTCATCATAATCCTCATGCACCCCGTGGCAGGAAGGTGTGAAGGTTCGACATCAACAGGTATAGCAGCAGTGTAGGGGAGGTTCTTACAAATATTGCTGGGATGGGTAAAAAACATCGTGAAAGATGGACGAAGTCAGGTCAGCCAGTTTTCCCTGGACGTACTGGCCCTCTCGATGGACGTGGATTTTTACCAGGATTGGCTCTCTGAAGTAGTCTGCTACGACGAAGTGATAAATCTACGAAATGTCTGCGGATTTGGGGAGATTCCGAATGCTCTGGTAGGGCAGCAGGTGTATAATAGGTATCATCTTCACAATCTCCTGACTGTCAAACAAACAAACGAAGTGCAACTCTCATCAGTCAAAGATAGGAGATACATCATTGAGTCTGAAGAAATTTCCAATTTCCATTGCAGGCTGACCGACGATGTGGCTCTTTCCCAGAGTCCAGAAACGTACCTTCGTGTTCGAAATTTGTTGAGATTCTTCATCCCTTTCGGACTTTTGCAATACCGTGTTCAGTTCTGTACCTACGCGCATGAATAAGAGTAATAGAAAAGACAAAATGAGAACACGCCTCCTTTGTGTAGACAAATTACCGTCAAGGTGGCCACTAGTACTCGATTCACGATGTGCCTTCAGACTGCAATTGATAGTAATCTAAAGTGCTGCAATTGTGCCCAGATTCAAGCATTATTTTCTCGATGCCAGTCGATCTGAGAAATTACAATGTTCCAGATCAGCTGACTCCCGTGCTTGAGAAAACCGTAATTTATCTCTCCTGTATGGAATGAACTTCTGAGGAAAGAATGCCTCACCTTCGTCTCCGTGATCATCAAATTCCGTAGGCGGCGACGAGCTGCAAATCAAGCAATTATGGTTATCCAGTATTTCATTTGGAGTGATTAATCCGTATGCTGGTATTTTGCATGTCCAAACTCACAACTTTACGTTCGGCGCTAACCAGATGTAGAAATGAAAAACTCAAAACCAAATAACAAGGCTCTACATCATTCCGCACGCATATTCGAAACTGATATCAGTAGAAAATGATTTTATACCTCATAACCTCTGTAGGCTCGAGTTTCGAATCCAAATACTGTAGGTGAGAAGAAACATCTGCCGGACAGTGGAGGTCCAACCACAGTGAGTTTTGGATCTTCATAAAAATCTGATGTTGTGCTTACATATATTTACTTCCGATTATTCTCACGCTGGAATCTATCATAACAGGACGTCATGTAGGGTATCAATATGAGAAAGAGAAGTAGGAAACACATTCCATGCGCTCTGAAAGTATATTCAAGCTCTATGTCAATTCACGCCAATTCGATCTCACAAACCTAACCCGAATAACTTCTTCCCCTTCTAGAACGATCGGTAGAAGCTCTATAGCTGAGTCATTCACAACGGCTGCACAATTATAATGCAAGAAAAGAAGAACTTATGTCGAATTCCCCTCAGACGAAGGAATCGAATGACTGAAGAATAAACCTGGTGTAGAGACCAGCGGTCGGGAAGAGCAGCAGCACAAAAGCTGGAAGCTGAGGAGCACTGACACAAAAAGCAGGAACACGAGATTTGACGACATATTCGAAAGCAGCTCACGATCACGTGAGCTGCTTAGCCTTAACTTCAGAATCCGCGGTCCACTTCACAACCCTGTCAAAGTTCTTGGTCTCAATTCTCAAACTCTCAAACTCTCAAACTCAACCGATCAGAGCCTTGACGTCATAAGCAGAGAGTTCGAATTACACTGGGGCCTGCGGTTCGAAGTTCTCTTATAAGTATCATCAGCTTCCTGTTCTGTAGTTTCGATACTGTCCTAGATCCTGCAATCATTATCAATGTCAAAAGTGGTGACTGAATATACGAAATCAAGCTTACTCTTACCAACATTGCTCTCCTGAGGATTGGTGAGAAAGTGGAGTCCAGAGTCCAAGCACCTCATGGAGTAGAAGGTCAAACTCGATACGCGTTGGAAGGTGAACGGGCAGTTGTCTTATTATCCCCGGAATTCCATCCACTGTACCCTGTGACTCTCTCACTTGCCCCTGTTCCGAGCACTGGCGACGTTCAAGTCATCGCTAAAGATCATCGTTTCTGCTCCGTCTATTCAAGCCCAATGTTTTGGGCTTGAGACTAATCACATGAGTTGTTACAAGCCAAAGATGTTACTAAAGGTGAATTCTCATAAACAAGGGAAATATTCCGATGTCATTGTAGAAGTTGTGTTTGATCAAGCTCTAACAGACATTTAGAGAAAAATTAATTTTTGTCTTGTGTACTGGTTAGTTGAGAAAATAGAATCGGTGAACTTTTATAATAAAACATGGGTAATTCGCTAATCATACCATGTAAGTTTAGGAAGCTAATTTCAAGAAAAAGGAAAAGGTATCCTCAACGACCTCGCAGACTGAGGTAGTGGTTCTTAGTTCTACGTCATTTGTTTACTCATGCTCTATAGCTTGTTCTTAACTTGATATATTGCTTCTATTGAGCCAGCTGGTCTCAATCCTGTATTAACATGATCCAAACAAAAAAATGTTGTAGCCAAAGTCAAAACCGTCACCCTTTTTTCAACCGCTTGCCTGTGAAACTAAAAAGTCTTCTAGTGAAATATAACGAATACTATTTTGAATGTCCTTCGTTATCACATGTCCTTGTCAGACTTCTAAAAGCAGATATCAAGAGTACATGGCCAATGTGGCATTGGTGGCTATAACGAGGTACAATTACAGTGTATTAGATAGGTTACCAGAAGTGTTTAATAGATGATTACAATCATTATTTACATTTCGCCAGGCAACCAGGTCCATATATGCAGGCCTATGGAGTTTACATTGACCTGTTTATAGAATGAACACTAACACTTGCCTGAAGTGCGGCTGGAAAATCTGTACTTCTAATCCAGGACCTTCTAATACCAGTTCCCAACAGCATTCGCTTCTAGGTGACCACAGACCGGTCTGCCAGCCACGACAGCTTCTGCTGGATCGGATCTCATTGACTTGAATAAGCTATGCACGGCGAGTTCCTCGGTGGCAAATGGGAGGTCTTGTCCAATGATCACACAATTCCACTCATCAGCACCAAAGATGAAGGAGACTATTTATTTTAGCCTTTGCAAAGTTCACGAGGCCAACAGTGGACCTAAAAATAAATAATTTCCTACTTTGGAAAGCATCTTGGTTTTAAAAATTTGTCTTTCCACGAAGGGTTATGCGAAGATCGATGTTCAGTAGGAGTGGTTATAGAAATTGTTTTTCTGAGCACATGATCCACTCTTTGGGCTCGACATTGCATACTTTTAATAAAAGAAATTGGTCCAGGAGATTGGACCAGACAATGTCGAGAATCAGAAACTGGTTTTCAATGGTTCCCATTAGGTTAATGCAATGAACAGCCTTGCACGTTCCAGTGTCCAGATGAGGCATTTACATCAGTAGCGGCAGGAATAATGCTACTCTGCATAATATGACCTTGAGGTGCACTAACATGTACGGACCGGACCATGTTTTTCTGACAGTTAGCGGACGCCACTGTGAAACCCGCAGCCAGCGTTATGCATCCATTCACAGCTGGCAAGATACGAACGCAGCTGATTTTATTCTTCTGGAGTTTTTACATGTAATAACCAGCGTTGAAGTAATCGATTATATAATTGATTTCGAAGTACATGAAATGTGATCATAGTATAAAAGTCAATGGAGCTATATACTCCTTAACATTCAACGTGGATTCCAACAGTCAGGGCAGACTGTAGGGCTTCAATCGATCCGCCACTGAAAGGAACAATTTGTCTAGTTTCGTAAAGAGTTATACAATATTCGGCAAAACAGTATCTACTTCAGAGTGCGTAGCTGAGATTATGGATTGGATGAAACGTCAAATACGGCCACAAAACCATTTCAGAGACCTCAGGCTTCGGGTTAAGTAAAGAACAAAATTCCGTACCAACAGAACACAACGTGATCCCCATATGTCTGACTGCCGGAGGTAAGTGTCATAAGAAAGTATTATGATAAAATTCGACCTCCTTACCTTTTTCTCTGTCGAATACTTTTGTGAGTCATCAGTACAGTGATTACAAGTCTCTTTTCGTGCTAGCCATCTGCAATCTTGCGTCTGCCCCTTACTTTCAGGAATGGTGACAGGGAAGTCAGCGGGATAACAAAGTGTTGATCCATAACTGACTTAAGTTTCACCATTTTTCTTGAGCATTGCCATAAGTTACCTGCAACTATGGCATTATGTACATTTGGTAATCTGTAAGCATTATAAGAAATTTCGCCGTAGGAAGAGGTTACTATCAAAACTCGGAAAAGTGAAATGTGTTTGACTTGCGGACGCAATAGTATAAGTACTGTTCAAACTCTTAGCAAAGCCTGACTACTTTCTCGAGCTCTATGAGCTCGAAGAACTAACAATCATAAGATGGAACGTCTGGATTTCAACACAGCAGTTCGGCCGAAATGTTCAGCTGCGTTCGGCCTTAAGAATCGAATCTATGTCAGTATAAACTACGTCCTGTATCTACACGACATGTATCTGATGAAGAAACGTCATTTCTCAATAGTCTGTACCTTCGATCTGCCCTTCCTAATGCACTAACTTTAGTCATTGTTTACCACGAATTTCGAATTGCATTGTTTACTACTATTCACCTTCCTCATGACAGCGCCACTCATAGCATCGGAGTTGGTCAAACTATTGATTCTTGCTAGAATCTATATAGTATAAGTTTTATAATATAAATTATCAATGTTTTAATATAAGTCCAGCTGGAAAGTTCATGATAATTTGGTTCGAAATTTTAGCAGATTCGCGTTTATACTTAGATAGCAGATTCATTCACCAGTCCGCATCAAAATAGTTGATATTGTTCCAGAGGAACTCTCTGGCTACACTAGAATGTTCTAAATAGCTAGAGGCAGAGTAAAATTTCCTCGAGTCCATGAGTTAGAACATTACAAATCAAAATCTGGTATAAGAACAATTGGGAAAGGGGATCGATTCTGCGTCCTTATCCTGTTGATCTAATGACCTTGTAGGAAGGCAAATCTATAAGTCAGACGAATCTCAGATATTGGATGCGATGCAATCTAAAACTGCCATACAACTGATATGATTTCTTAGGACAGGGGATTACAACTAATTTAGAAAATAATCCAATCACAGAAGTCTACATGGAAGCAGTTGTAATCGTCCTCCGAAGATGGGCATTGCTGCTCAGAACTACACTTCTTAGGTCGACATGAAAGAAGCCACAATCGATCATGCACTGTGCAATGTTGAACTATTCACTTTATTTATTGCTCTTCGCAGATAGTATTTGTCCAGAGTACTAATCTTTCACATCTTTCACTCGATATCTTATCTCCCCGTTTCTTAGAAAATCCGCATAAACCCCCATTGAGGATACGCTCACAGCAACATCGAGGAAAAAAGTTTTCGGTATCGATTGTATTAAGAGACTTCAGCACGCACGGTTTTTATTTACACAAGTTCTGAAGGCTCTGAATTGTGATTTGAAGAGCCAAATCGGATAATTTGTCCAACTAAACGAACTGAAATACTTGAGAGGCTTGCTTCCACGAGAGACGTAGTCCAGTCTGTCACTCACCGATTAGACACTGGATTTGACATATCCCTCTACTGCCTTAAATACAGTGTTGAGTCCCTGTAAGGAGATTTCGCCTGACTTAGCAACGCTCTCCTCCGAGCCTCCCTCATATTCGGCACAAATGTGCAATTTTGAGGCGTTCTCACCCGATGGAATTAACTTCAAGGTCTGCATCCACTTGGTGAGTCCGAATTGCGTCAAGTGCCCTCCTTCGAGCTCCTCTGATACAGCCGAGTAACCTTCGTCGTCGAGGCTCACGATCAGCTGCTTCACATGTCCACCATCTGGAACCACTGCACGTGCAATATAATATTCGTAGAATGAGGGAGCAAGTGAGTTCAGCGTAGTGTGACTCGAATCTCAACCTAGCTCCTTACTCAGACATTCACAACTGGAATAAAGAGGCTCGCCTTGATGCAGCTCGATAGACAACATGGTGACGATACTAGGGGAGTGCCCATAGTAACCCAAATTTGATGCTCACATAGTCCTCACACTTCAGTCACAAGCGACATGATGTTCTCGTTATCTACTTCTACGATCGCCTTAACACGAAGACGAGTTACGAGCTCACGCACAAAGAGGATGAGAAAGTATGCACTTCAGTGGACCTTACTTGGTCCGAATTTGACGAGGCGAACAGATCCCGGGCCTCCATCGCCCTCCACGATATCTATGCTGGCAATGGCCCCCGGCATCAGCTTGGGGAAGAGTGTGTTCTGATCCTTGAGGGCTGCCCACATGGCGGATGCGGATACTCCTAACTCGATTTCAAGTTCACATGTAGGCATCTTCGAAAGTATCCCAGGAATCTAACTTCAAACGTGTACTAGGAGAGAGCGAGAGGGAGACAGAGACAGAGACAGAGACCAGACTGAATCTAATGACAGGCTCAAGGATGCGAATGCTGGCTAAATGAGAGTGCAGTGGATGGTTGAGGAGAGCAGGATTCGGGTCTGTCTATATAGTCAGCTGGAAGTTCAGTTCACAATCGATTCGGAGGAGATTTACAAACAAACTTCTGATCCCAGTGAATCAGAATTCCTGATCACGTGAAGTGTCGAAATTTCCCCTGGTATGAAGTTTGACTTGGTGGCGTAGACGTAGAAGTCTTCCAGGCTCGACGATCAGAGTCTTAGCGCGATCTTCGCTTGTGCAGATTGACTTTGGTCCCGTGCGAGCCCCAGACTCTCGCTCCGGCCGAGACCTTTTTGATGGACTCTGTTCAGATTAGTTTCAATTACCACGATTAAGAATGTGGTCGTCAAGAACATGTCAACGATGCCAATTTACCTGTAGCAATTGTCCCCGCTTGTCTCAGTCTACTTTACCTTTACACCTTCCACTCTAGTGCAAGGTGTTAAGGCTTACTTAAACTCAAGTAACTTTTTGTAGGCTTACTTAAACTCAACTCTGCATTCCATGGTTGATAACGGAAATTCGAGCTCAGATGTGCAGCCATAATCTGAGACTTCTGATGAGATTGTTACGAGTGATCATATGCTAGCTTCGAACGCATAGGGTATCGGGATCTCCCGGATAACAAGTCCATTTTAGTCCTCGCATTTTAAACTAATTCTTTTCTTGCTGGTGGCACTATGTAAGTTGAAATGAGTTCTTGGTAATACCCAATAGAAGTATACTAAGAAGTAATAATAAATAGAACTTTTGAAGAGACCAAATTCACTACATATTATGTTTGGTATCATTTTATTACTGGAAATATTAATAGATTTTAAAATAAAGTCGAATTTTCCAGTGATGAAGAATAATAAAACTGTTAAATTTTTTAAAAAAATACGTGTGTATATTTCAAAAAAAATTGGATAATTTAAATGTAAGAATATTTTGAAAAATATTTTCAATTAAAATATTGAAAAAAATAGATTTATCAGACAAGAATTTGCAAAAAAATATCTGTTAAATTAAAGAAATATGGCCTCTTGCTTCAAGGGGTTCGAAACTTCAGGTCTTTTTCCCGTTAAGCCATTGAAATGTGTTTACGCACATCCCATAGGCACGGAAAGTGCAGCGTAAATCCATTTCAGCGGCGATAATTAAAACATAAAATTATTTTTTTTCCAAAATTATGATAATATTACAGAATTTTTGAATGAATACTAATGTCATATATCCAATAGTAAGAGATTAATAATTTCTCTTCTTAATAAAAATGATAAACATCTATCATTGAACACGTTCTATATTAAATGACAAAACCAATAAAAAAAATTATTAACTTTGAAAAAATGAACATGAAAATTTTATATATATTAATATTTTTAGAATGAAAAAAAAATTATCTAAAAAATTATTTCTTTAATGTATCCTTAAAAGATGAGTTTCATATATGATGCATGATTTCAAAAAAAATTTTAACTATATATTATTTGAGGTATACTAAAGCAATTGCAGTAATTGCAGCAATGCAAATTTTGTTCACATAAACTTAGACCTAGAAGATGAAAGAATTAAAAAAGTTATCTCTAAATCTCTTTCAATTAATATATACTAAATTCTTGTGTAAATTACAATATCAAACATTTTAGAAAAACAAATATTTTCTGAACATCACTTGTTTTTAATCCAGTGCGCTAAATTTTCTTTTTCCTTTCATGCATCAAATATTTTGCATACTTTCATGTAATTTCAAATACATAATCAACTATTAGAATTTTATATTCAAAATTTGCAACGATTATTGTTTAAATTCTAGAAATAAATATTTTTTTAAGTGTTATTTGTATATGACATATTTCATTAAAAACCTGTTAGCAATTATTTTTGGGTAAAGAAATCTGACATCTTATTGGTTTGGAATGACGATACTTTTGAAGAAGTGAAGGAACTTTATGTAGATGTGATAATTACATTTTAGAAAGTATAAATGATTGAATATATATGTGTTTATTGATGTTCTTGAACACCATTAAATTCAATCAGTACATTATTGAAATTCATAATATTTTCTAACATATTGAGATGGCAGTAAATTTGAAAAACAATCTAGATCTCTATTGCAAAAATATTACAACTCTGTACTTTCAATGGGTATAAATTACCCAAAATCAAGAGATATTCTTCACCTTCTTAATTTCCAACGTTGTTGTAAGAAAAGATGGGAGGATGCCCACAATTGAACTTTCATTTCTTCAATTGTTGAAGTAAAATGTATGTTTATCGATATATTTGAATCCATAGACTGGAAAGTTGCAAAAAATTTGCCAAAATAGCACAATTTCTAAAAGCCATTGAGTTCATATAAGTTGAGATAATTTACCATTTTGTGTAGCTCTACAGAACTTTATCTCCAAGTTCAGTATAAAGTGGCAAAATGGAAGCGAGTGTTAAAAGTTACTCTCTTGCAAAGTCAGACTGCAAGAGTTCTTATATATATATATATATATATATATCATACAAACGTCATCTTCGAGCCACTCAACATTTGCGTAGTCCAATTTTGAGACAAGAATAAGCTTTTTAGAGGGCTTGCAATTTGCAAAGCCGAAGAGACTCTACAGTTGGAAGCTCCCAGTCTGCGAAGTCCATCGAGTCTGTCGATGTACGAGCCACAGCATGGCTATGATAGATTACAATGATCTCAAAAGCAAGTCTAGAGTACAAATCTTTCATTTGAAACGAATATCAGCTCGTGTACATGATAAACTCATTCGGATCACTCATCTATACAAACTTGACGACACTGAAAGATGCCAATTTAACATTCAAAGAAAATTCGACTCGCTGCTCAAGCGCTGCTCTTCACGTATTGCTCAAGTGCCTTGAAGGTGTGGGTAAGTCCCTGCTTCGTCATTTGTTCTGACTTGGCGGCGCTTTCGTCTGAGCCACCCTCGAATTCGGCAGAGATGAGCAATTTCGAGGTGTTGTCGCCTGTCGACTCTAGCTTCAGTGTTTGCACCCACTTGGTAAATCCGAATTGCGCCAAATGACCACCTTCGACCTCTTCAGAAACAACGGAGCGGCCTTCGACGTCCAGGCTCACGATCCGTTCCTTCACAAATCCACCTTCCGGGACCACTGAAAAGCAGAACACAAGTGGATGCCAAGAAATTTTCGGTCATTGCCAGAACACATCTCCAGTCAGAAACCATCGACAGCACATGTCGAGGCAAGTGGAAGAACGTCAAATTCTTCGCACCATGAACTATGAATTCACGCCGCAGATAGTGTCGTCAGGTGACCACTTACGTGGTGAATGTTTATAACCACTTACGTCGTGAATGTTAGATCTACACTTTGCTGGGCTCGGCCAAAACAAGTGTTGCAGAGGCGAAGATCGTATAAACGGCATGAATGCAGGTGATGTAGAACAGCTTACTTGGTCCGAACTTGACGACGCGGGAAGATCCTGGGCCTCCTTCACCGTCTACGATCTCCATGCTGGCGATAGCTTCTGGCATGAGCTTGGGAAAGATGGTGTGTTGATCCTTCAACGCTGCCCACATGGCGACAGCAGACACTTCCAGCTCCAGCGCATACTCGAACGAAGGCATCTTGCAATGAAGTAAGAAGAGATAGAACCGATCGAGCTGAGAATAGGAGGAGATCGAGAGAGATGATGCAGATGTTGGAGTTAAGGACAGTCACTCTGATAACAGCTTGCGGATTCGAGTGTGTGTTGAGCTGCCTGCCTGGTCTAATAAATAGCGACGCGAGCGAGGAATGTAAGTCTATTTACAATGCAAGTCAAAGTTTGTAGAAACCCGAGGACATCATCACTTCGTCTGAATTTTGCGAATCTGATGGTATGCCTACTGCTCTCACTCGAAGATGGTCGTCTGAACAACGTCTCCTCTATCTTCTGGCCCCAGCAGCTTGACTTCTCTGGAGTTCGTCAGTCGTTTGAAGTTGACTTCTGTGGAATAGAATGAATCTTCTCGAATACGTTGACCTTGTCCTGGAATCCCCGACCTTGAACCGTGACCCTGGCATCGCTGATTAGTCTTCGGTTTCGTCCGGCCAGTTCTGATGGACGGGGTAAAGCTCTACAGGCTTCAGGAATTTACATGTAAAATCGACAAGCACTCCTCCTTCAGTTTCAAGTCTTACTCTTGTCATACCGACCCGCACGCTCCGCTAAGGGCGTGGACTTTCTTGTACAGACGGTATCCGCTGAGATCTCGATGGACTGCAACTCGTCTGGCAAGACAATGGACAGAATCTGGACCGGGGCGACTTGGGATGCCGAGGGAGTTAATTGTGTAAGTGATCTAAGGCTTGCGGAGAAATTGGCGAGAGCCCAGGTTTCCAGCTCTTGGAAAAGTATTCACGCAGGAGCCCGGCACGTAATGTTTGACGAAGCATGCGCTCGTACAGTGACTTGCTTTGTCTGCTCATCGATTCGTGAGAAGACTTTGGGGTTTAGCCTAGAATGACACCTCGGCTGAACTGCAAGTGCATATCACCCTGATAACAGCCTTGTCGGTTTCAGGTGCATGGGAACACATCCATCCCTCAGTGCTGGTGTCGTAAAGTATGAGATCCTTCCATTGTGAAACATTCCAAGAGGTTAGGAGATTCAATATAAATGTTCATAGATATGAATCTCGATGTTACTTTACTCGCAATAAACATGACTCCAAGAGTTGATTTTCATTTGTTCGAACTTTTCTTTTTCGAGAAGAATTTTTTTTAAGAGAACAAGAGAGACTTTCGGCTGGTGTGGATGTGCGAACCGCACCAAACTTTGTCGAAGGCTAAAAGCTATGACTCAATCAAGAGACACTCAAAGTCAGGTGTGACGTAATATGGTCAACATGTGCAACTTGTTGCACATGTTTGTACTTTCCTGGTTCTCGTGTACAAAGGTCAAGCTGCTCAGCCCAAAGGACGCGAAGGAACACGTCAAAAAGTACCTGAGACCACCAAGTCAAACTTTAACTTCGGGTCAGTCACTTGCTTCTGCTTACCAACCTTTGTTGTCTTTCATTCTACCGACCAGTGGAACAGCAGCATCTCTGCTTGTATTTAAACAGCTCCAAATCATTGTTCACAGCATCAGTAGTACTGCACTCACACTTCACACTTCAGTAGTTGAGATCTCGCCACCTTGATAGTTGTCGACGAGCTAAATTTTCGAACTTCTGTGCTTAGCTTGATTTGCTTTCGAACTCCGCCTACTTCTTCGGAGAAAATGCCTTCCTTTGAGCATGAGCTGGAGTTGGGAGTATCAGCTGCTGCAATGTGGGCAGCCATGAAGGATCAGAACACCATCCTCCCCAAACTCATGCCCGAGGCGATTGCCAGCATCGAGAATGTCGAGGGCGAAGGTGGCCCAGGATCTCTCCGCGTTGTCAAATTCGGACCAAGTAAGCTCAACTAAACATTGAATATGGATTGAACTCTCTATCCACCTGTAGAATCGTATTCGTCGATCACTTCGGTTTCTATTATATCTACTTTCACAGTCGATCACAACTAGTATACGTAATGGGTGTTGATTTCCAAAATATATTGTCAACAGTATAGGTCAATGAGTAGTGAAACGTAGAAATTTGCGTCTGACTCTCGTGCATTCACAGGCTCGGCGTTAGATCCGTGATGAAATCGAAACGGCTTCAAGCATGTAGCTAGAAACGTATTTTCACCAATTAGAGTTCATGAACTTCTCGTTGTTCTCTTCTGCTTTTCAGTGGTTCCGAACGGTGGATCTGTGAAGGAGCGCATGGTGAGCCTTGACATCGAGGGCTGCTCGGTTGTGTCAGAGGAGGTCGAAGGAGGACACTTGACTCAATTCGGATTCACCAAGTGGATGCAGACTTTGAAATTGACGTCCACAGGGGAGAACACATCGAAATTGCACATTTCTGCCGAATTTGAGGGTGGATCCGAGGAGAGCATCGCCATGTCCGGTGAGATAACGAAGCAAGGACTCAACAACACCTTCAAGGCACTCGAGCAATACGTGAAGACCAGCGCTTAATTTCCTAAAGTCTCGAAATCGCATTCAGTCTATCAACCAGCAGTATGTATCATTTGTTGAAACATACCACGGTGATTATCATCATGGGGCGAGACCTCCATGGTTTGAAAATGTGAGGTTTTCTTATACTGGAGTCGGTATGAAATCAGCCTCGTAAGCAAACGAGGTAGTGTCCAGATCGTCGTCTAAGCATCTGTTTCTTTGATCATTTGAGAAGTGCATATAAAATCGATTTAGTTTTCGAATTTGAGAGAGTCGGCTGCAGTCTAGGTGGTCATTCTGTCCCTCGGAGGGTCCAATCACCGAAGCTGGGAGCAACGTCACTCTCCTTATGCTTCATAGTATGTAACATAATCTTTAAGAAAAATCATGACTGTTTATGACACATATTCTTGCAGTGTTTGTGGTGACATTTGAGTTGCATCGTGCGGATCTTAAGGTCATCCAATTCATTCTGGTTTTGCTGACCGGAAGAGTCAATTTCTCTAATGATTCTCACGGATGGCCGTTTTCAAATTATATTGTTGTGAATTTTCACAGATGGATAGGTTAACAGAGCAATGTAAGAATGAAGAGTAATAGAGGAGTGAGATTCAGCACCTTCGACATCGAAACAAAGTGGAGTAACGAAACTCAAGGAGTGAACAGTTATGGAACCTGTTCCACGTTTCTCTTGAAATATCAGTGTGGAGACCATGTCACCTTAAGGATATATGGCAACCATTTCCTCTGGTTGCTTAAAACGGGCAAAGGAGCAACTGCATTCACATTTTAATTGTGCCCTGTCTCTAAAATATATTATCTCCGTGACACAATATTCTCTCGATCAAAGTATGGCATATCAATGTTCTAATACATCTTAGAACGACATTCAGTTAAAAAAAGGCACGCTATATCTCTAGCAATTATTCCGATGATAAAATATGTTATCTCTTTCATGAGTTTATATTTTTATCTCAACTATCTTCATCAAAATTTACATGAATTTTTTAATATTCAGTGCTATTAGATTTTTACTGTACTTCGAAAAGCTAGGAATGTAAACTTGTGAGAGATGGTCAAAGTAATGATTGTTGACTTCTACTCTGCCAAATGAATGTGTGCTGTTGATAACCTTTCTCACTCCTGCTAATCTAACGCCAAAGTTCAAGTTGTAAGTTATTGATTATGTCATTTTCATCAAACCGGATAATCGGGCGTGTGGTACAGAATACCTGTGTTGCGCCATGAGTTTTAGTCGACAGTCTGATGACAAACATTAATTCACCTCATTGAAAAAAGGCGCTAAACTATCTGAACTGAATTTGGCTTTGAGTAATTTATCAAGAAAATCATCATCCATTTCACCCAAAGCGACGTGGAAATGCATGGCAACGACCTTTCTCGTCGACTGATACTCGTGGCTGCTTCTACCGTATTCCAATTCGACTCCCTTCAGCAAACATGCTGCGAGCTGCAAATTGAGCCCGCAAGTTCCGGCCTCGACCGCTTTATAGATATTCAGGAGCTGTGCAACCATTTCAATTTTCTCCAGACGACTCACTTCTTGAGGGCAGAATACGATTCTGAGCATGTACCCTCGTTGGAAAATGAAACGTACCCACCCTTTCTGCCTATCGTCCAGCTTGCAGGGCAGATTCTGGATCCTCTGCTCCACATGATGGATCAGGCGAGAGAAAATCTCGTATTTCAGTTTATCTGGCTCCAGTGCCCTGGGCAATCGAGCTTCAAAATCGGACATGATGTCGGAGAACATTTGTACCGCGTCAGAGATGTGAGGCTTGACGATTTCGTCGAAGAGGCATCTTTCGCAGCGGCAGGCAAAGTTCCAGGCTTTGGTGAGCTGCTCTCGATCGAGACTATCGCTTACTACGTAGGAGATTGTGAGCTCTGTTCCCGCAGGCAAGTCTCGTGTGGCTCGAATGAACATGGCTTTGCCGACGAGGCTCACTGCGCAGGTAGGAAGGCAGGAGTGGTTGAGCAGGGACGGCAGAGCCCACAAAGCACAGACGTTCACCTGCGCCGGCGGAGTATGACCGAGCGCATCTTTGAGTCCATCTAAGAAAGCTTCTGGGTTCCCAATTCGTGAGGAATCGAAGCTGTTGATTCGGACGATCTCGAGCGCCTCCTCGATCCCTGGTGGTTCGACTTTCGAGTGGGGATCTGGAGCCCAATCGCTTCCGGGAATGTACAACTCCAAAGGCGGAACTCGTGCATTCTGATTCTTCAATCTGCTGTGGAAATACCTAAATTGATGCGCATACCGCACGGACGAGGTCGCGAGTCGCGTACATGCGAAGGCAAGGTTGATCAAATGCTCGTTGAATTTTCCTCTCGCCGCCAGGCCTAAGGCAATGGCATTGCTCACAATCACAAGCTGGCCCAGTTTCATAGACTCGGTGAGAAACAAGCCACGGCCAGCAGTCGCGGTGGATTTAATCTCCACGGAGCCGACATAATCGCTGCAGAAAGGAGGAAGGTTTTCAAGATAGTAGTTGTAGAGATCGAATTCGCCGGTGACAGACTGATGGTAAGCTGATTTGACCTCGGCCACAGCTGCCATCGTGCTGTCGTCATAGGGGCGGAGCTCGAGTGCAGCCTCGAGAGCTGCGAGGGCCTTCTTGAATTCTTGCAGGCCCTGCAGAGCTTTGCCTTTGCGGAAGAGGCTCTTGACGTGCTGCGGCCCGAGAGAGAGAGCGCCCTCCGCGCTTTGCAAGGCGCTCTCCCACTGGCGCCGCTCGAGGTACGCCTGGGCGCAGTTGGAGTCCGCCATGATCACGATCGGCGTCGCCCGCCCGCGGAACTCCTCCGTCGTGATCGATTCGAACCCTCGGCCGAGCCTGGCGCATCTCTTGTAGATGTGAATGGCCGACTCGAAGTCTTTTTTGTTGAAATGCCTGTTCCCTGCTAAGCGCCATTTCTCGAGTTCCCCGATGAATGTTCCCGTTTCTTGTGGGTTCTTTTCCAAATGCTTTAGATATCTGATTTCATCTGCCATCAGTTGCAGCGATGGCGCAGCCAGGACACTCGCAACCGATTCCCTTCCCATTTTTCCGAGCCGAGCTTAATCGGGATCTGGAGCCTCTTCTCTACTCAAGCACAAACTTCAGACATGGACTCGGATCGCATCCGCTGGATACTTTAGACCATACGAGGCCTGCCATCGCTGATACAATCTCTGAGGACTCGATGTTTCGAAACTGACATTTGATTTCATGAACGAAGAGATTTTCATCGCATTCTCTCACTTATAATTTCAAGCCACGCCCTGGGTTTTGGACAAATTCAGCGTTTCAGATCCAACTCTCGGGTATCGTTGACATATTGCTGTCACGATTCCCATCAACATCAATCCGAGCTGCAAAGTGTAAGATGGCAGCTGCAAATAAAAGCGTCGGACATGCCTTCGATTTTGAGATTACGTCGAATTCAAATCCAAATCTCTGAATTTCCTGGATTGATAGGATCATTGTCTGATACGTCGTCCTTTTCGGCTGCGTCGCTTAAGCTAAGTCAGGACTCCATTCGTGTCCGAGAAGAGGGAAGATTGGTCCATCGCATACGTTTTTTCTGCTTTTTGGGTTTCTGGTTTGTAATTGTGCAATTGGTCCATCGCTCACCTCCCCGGACCGAGGTATCATACTTACTATTGGCTGAACTGATCCACAATCCCTGAACTTCCTCGACACCACGGTCCAGTACATTAGTCCTATGGAAGTTGAGTACATGCCATTCGAACGTGGACCCACGACCCAGATCATGTCGGTCGACGATGTAGTGCGGGTCACGGTAAACCCTGTGGGATTGGAGTGCCGGCGAGGACGAGTCCATGAGAAGCTCTCGCTGTCACCCTTGAATGCGTGTAGCAGTTATCTAGAAACTTGTAATTTGCTGATGGAGAGCTGGGGGGCTTTCGTTAAATCGCAGCAAAGGATATCGACTGCTGCGGAATTGTGAATAGAGAGTAAATGGTCGGTGGTGTTTCGATATTAAAGTTAGACAGGCGGAAGATGATCTGCAGTAAATCTGAGGCTGTTTCTCACCATGTTTCTCATCTGTCCTTTCCGGCATGGCATGGTCTGGCATGACGCGTAAAGATTGGTCGCACGCTCGCATCATATGTGTACCTGTACACGCTCGTCTCGTCTATGGATCCTATCGGATAAAACGAAATTTGAAGTGTCTCACTAATCAATTTAGGTTCTTATTGGATCCATCAGGTAAATATCTCCGCGATATAAATTTTACGACGTTTATTTTTCATTGTCATCTGCCCTAATATGTTAATTTACGTAGAGCCACGTGGTAGGGAATTTGTGGAAAAGATATTCGATTACTCTACCATCTTAGAGTGCTCATTGTCTGATGGACAAGACATGGACAACTGTTATACGAAATGGATACATTTGTTGCAAAAGTTATTTGCCTTTAACAAGATACAATTATTCGTGTACAATCATTCTCTCGGTATCTAACTTTAGAGAACGAATGCACATAGCAATAAAGGATGCTGTAGAAAAACTCCGCCGTGCAGAAAAAATAAATGATTACACACGCCTGATCTACGAATCATGTTATCACGTGAGAATCAAAATCTGCATATGAGAGGCTGTCGGATACATTGTCTTTAATCACAAGAGATTAGCTTTCTTCTTTTTTCCTTGACACAAGGGTTTAGACTTTCTTGTCTGCTTTGGCGCTGGTTTGTAAAACCAAACATCAAACTGAAGCAGGTCAAAATGATCTGGGCAGTAGTAGTATAGTTTCGAAATTGACCACCTCCATTTACAATCTAGTCGCCTTTCGATAAGAAAAGAGACTGATGTCATTGATTTCTCTCGTTTCCAATTAAATTATCAACCGGCGGTTGACATTCCGCCAGTCTCAGCTTAAGGAGATTAACTCGAGTCTCGGCGTGGTCATGCCACTGCCTCCTCCTGTTAGACGAGTTTTGGAGCCATTCATCTGCCCAGGCCCTTCTAATCCTCCAGAACCGCTGTTACGGAACATTCGGAGTACAAGTTCCTAGGCAGATCTTCGACCACAGTCAGCCCACAAACATGGGCCTTCTGTTTGACACTTGAAATCGATCGCTATTATGGCATGAATGCCACGTGGTCGAACCAAACATTCGCTTTATGCACGTGCACCGAAGATTCGAGTATAAGTGGCGTGGGAATGGCATTATCCAGATTGAGGAAACTGTTTGCCCCGAGTTGACATGAAAATTTTCGCAGGAAGCTTTGGATGATTGGTTTGTGGTAAATAAAAGACCAGTAATTTTTTTTCCCTCTTTACCAAACCAACAAAAGCAAGTGAGATGAATGGAAATTGTGTTGGGGAATATTCGAATCAAACCGCCCTCGTGACAACTTTTCCTTTATTTCTTGTATGCAGTCGGGCATGAAGCTGTCCTTGAAACATTCCTCGTCTCATTTCCTGGAGTTGGTTGAATTTTAAACGATACGTTAACGGAGAGTGTTTGGAATCACATTTCGCGTGAAAATCGACCCACACTCTGTATCAATGACGGAGATCAAGGGACTGCATTACACAATTTCATTCATAATGCCAACGAAGAATCTCATAAAGCTCAAGCGGTTGTGATGACAACCTCATTGGAAGGTTTTATTCTCACTTTGGAGATGCCAATTTTAATTACAAGTCAGCTGAAAAGATCAATGGCGTCCTGAGCACAGCCATAAGGTTCACGAAGCTGATTTGATTCGTGTGCCAATGCTCTATGGGCTCAAACAAAACTAACAGTGAGTCCGAGAAAGAAGAGCAAGAACTTGCACAAATCCGCTGACAGCGATTGCATCAGGTTTCAACTGCAGATGGAGCTGATTGATCCAGCATATAGCAGATTTTAGAATTTGAGGGAGCGCAATTCAGGAGGACCTGGCAGCGCAGCGCTCGAGAACCTCGAAAGTTTTGATGAGTACAAGCTTCGTCCATTTGTTGGACTCGTCAATGTCCTCCTCCGATCCACCCTCAAATTCAGCAGAAATGAGCAATTTCGAGCCCTCCTCGGCAGGGATCAACTTAAACGTTTGCACCCATTTGGTGAATCCATATGTCTCCAAATGTCCTCCCGAGACCTCCTCTGACACAACGGTAAGGGTCTGGCGGTCCTTGCTCCTGATGACCTACTGCACGTACCCACCATTCGGAACCACTGGACAGCAGAAGAGAGGAACAGGAGGATTACGAACTCTGGTGATGACTCAAATGTCTAGGGACATGCTTGAGCTCGGTAGCTGATTTTGTACTCACGAATTTAGCGTTTAGCTGGACAATGCACATGTCTGTGCTGCATGCAGGCATAACTCTTCATACTACTTTGAATGGGATCATACTCCCGATAGTCCCTTCGGCATTGTGGTCATAAAGGTGTTACATAACTCTACTGCACTGTGCATCTGAAGCTGAAAAGACAGAGGTGATGGATGAAAATGGTGGAGTGCAGTTGCAGAGGTGCACAGCTATCATTTGAAGTCAATGTTTCAGAGGAGCTTACTTGATCCGAACATGACGAGTCGAACAGATCCTGGGGCTCCCTCACCCTCGACGATGTCGATGCTTTGGTAAATCTCTGGCAAGAGCTTCGGGAGGAGGTTGTTCTGAGTCTCCATGACTGCCCACATGGGACCAACCTCTACTGAAAGATCTAGCTCAAGCTCGAATGAAGGCATTTTCGCGAAGAGATCGAAAGAAGAAAGCTCAAAACTTCGAAAGAGAGATTGTCGATCAGAGTCAAGCTTGCGAGAGCTGGATCGCTGAAGGACGTGTGTGCTGCTTATGATCCTCGAGAGTGTGATCTCGAGCCTATATAGTAGCAAACGGGGATGCTAATATGTAAATAGGTAAAAACAGCAAAATGTTAAAACCACCAAAATATGATTTGTCTCCTGAACTGCTGTTGTGATTTACTCGTTCAACAGAAGCCTTTCAGACCCGACATTGACACTGACTTGGTGGTGTTAAGTTCGTCTGACCGCTTCCGTGTATCCCGTAGCTTCAGCAGTTTGACTCTGGTTGAGTACAAGGTGGAACCCCTGCTTCATGTATTGACTTTTGTGTCCTTCGCAGTGTGAGCCCATGACTATATAGTAATTTTTATTTATCTCTCGACGACGCCATCATGCTATGTGGCTGCTTCTGGTGGAGTTTGGTCTCTTTTCTCCAGGGACGTCAACTGGAAGTCTAGGCATGTTCTTCTGTGACCAAATGTATAAGAGTCTCTCCTTGATCCCGACAAACATCTATTATGAATTTTACTAAATATAAGAACAGGTGGCAGAAGCGTGTTAGGCGGTACATAGATCCATCTCAAACTCAAGAACCCTCACTGCAGACACACGACAAGTTTTGAAATGGAGATTGATTAAATGATATAAATCCTATCCAGCGGTATAAACACCTAGGCCTTGAACGGAATGGCAAGTACAACATTTTTAAGATTATCCTCTTGTCAACAGATAATTCATGTTGAAGGAAGCAAGTTCAATATTGAGCACGTTCACTTTTGACTGATTCATGAACTGTCAAAAGAAGGTGAGGAAATCGAATGATCGAACTAACGGACAGATGTAAGAAGCTTCCGTGTAAAGTATGAAGTTAAAGAAATCCCTTAGGATAAATGGGATACCTTAGAATAAATTTCAGTTTGTAATGTTCAATATAAAACATAAATTATATGAGAATATAAATTTCAACTACCTTTGTTTCGATACAATGTATGGATAATCAACTTAATTGTATAGTAAAATAAAATGTAATAATAAAATTCAGTTTTCTCGTCATCGAAAATTCTTGTACAGCGAGGCTCGTTATACTTAAAGAATGAGGGCACATGCAAGAAGACAAAGTATCCTGAAGCACAACACGAATGCTCGATGACAAGTCATTGAGATATGTGTTGCAGATTCCGTCATTGTTGCTGGCCGGAGGAACAAATGAATTATTGACAGTAGTATATCCTGTTCCCTCATTCCTGTCTTGAATCTAGTAAGTCTGTATGCTTTCTGCGGATGCAGGTTGCCCTGGAATGAAGGCCATTTTTGAGTGACTCTTGATGAGGTTCAGGGCCATTTGTAAGGAGATTATCACAGAATCACTACATTCAGAACTCTTCGGGAAGCACTCAATTCGAGTGAGTGCTTCCGCAGAGTACATAAAGATCCTACTGATAAGGCGGTAAAGGAAAACCGAGGAAATATTTGGTCGGGCAATTTGGACGAAAGATCTGATCATAAAACTGAGATGGAAAATGTTACGGGCTTACCTATTAGATAAACTATGTTGCTTAGCCTCTGGACATTTGAGAAATGTGGGCATTGCCTCAGAAGAACTGGAACAAGAGCAGTGCCACATTGATGATGCTAACAAACATAGCAGGAGTTAAAAAATGAGGCTGCAATGAGAGGACGCAGGTGACTGAGTGTGAAGAACGCTAAACGATAACCGTGATACTGATCTTTAAATATTTCTGGGACTCACTCAAATTATGCATCCAGGGTTTTCCTGTTTTCAACAAAAACAACAATTTTGGCCCTCTTTTCATGTTCCGGGCAACTGCAAACTGTTCTACCTGAGTTTGGAACCAAATACAACAACGAAGGTAAGGTGACCTTATGAAATTGGAAATTTGTGCACACTGAAAATCTGCAGAATATCTGAATCCTGCGTACAATGCAAAATTCTGTTTGCAGATCGTTCGTGAATTCTTAGGTTCATATATCCAGTGTCGAAACCGTAACGGCGGACACTTGCTGATGACAACTGAATTGACTCGAACGTAATGAGTGGACAAGAAGAAATGTTGTTGAATCCGTAAGCACGAGTCACTTGAATATCCAGCATGCAGTTTATTGAAAGGCATAAACAAACATAACTTTACAGTGATATCCTATTTTTTCACAAGCCGTGGTTTGAATTTCACAGGGGCAAGCTAAGCACTTTGTCATCGACCAACGCTCTAAATTCCTGTCCTTGTATTCTATGTACCCAGTCGAGTCATTGATCGATATGCTTCAGATACTCTTATGCTTATAGTTCCTGCAACATATTACCTCGGGTCTGGATACGGACTGCATTCGTTTGTCAGCCCAGCCAGAGTCTAAGAAAACCTCACATTCACTCCTGGAGAAATACCTGTAACCTCGTTACATGTCTGATCTGCACTCCGGTGGATGGTTCAATCGAGAGATCAATAGAACATACGATATCAGAAATCGATGACTCTCGAATCAAGCTTTGCTCTTCACGTATTGCTCTAGTGCCTTGAAAGTGTGGGTGAGTCCTTGCTTCGTGATTTCACCGGACTTCGCTGCGTTCTCTTCTGATGCACCTTCAAACTCGGCAGAGATGACCAGTTTCGATGAGTTGTTCCCGGTGGAGATCAACTTCAGAGTCTGCACCCACTTGGTGAATCCGAACTGCACCAAGTGTCCTCCTTCGACCTCCTCGGACACAACGGAGAAGCCTTCGATGTCCAGGCTCACGATGCGCTCCTTCACGAATCCACCTTCCGGAACCACTGAACAAGGACATCACATCACGTCCGCCGTGAGTACACAGCACTTGAGAGTTCATGAAAGTTAGCTCTTTGAAACCCGCAGATAAAATGTCTAGCCTCATGAATCAAATGCATGAACGCGATCCGAATGTAAATTTCAATCCTCCTCCTAAACGCTACTGCCTTCGAATCGTCTCGGATTATTGTCAGAACTCTATCGACGGTGACATTCTTATATTGTGTACATCTACATGTACCTAGAAGACATGAATACAGACAGGATCCTGCAGAACTGATCAAATTATGGTCCAAGCGTATGAAGCGACATGTCAGTGGAGCTGCTTACTTGGTCCGAACTTGACAAGGCGGACGGATCCTGGGCCTCCTTCACCCTCCACAATCTCAATGCTGCTAACTGCCTCCGGCATGATCTTGGGGAAGATCTCGTTCTGGTCCTTCATGGCTGCCCACATGGTGGCGGCAGACACTTCCAACTCAACCTCATGCTTGAAGGAAGGCATTGTCGAAATGGAAGAAGTCGAGCTGAGAAATTGAGTGTAATGCGGAAAGAGATTGTCGACAGAAGTCCAGGTATTGAAAGTTTGCTGCGGAAGTAGGAAGTGAGTGATGCTGAGACGTGCCCATCTGAAGTGCTTAAATAGGGAGCACTGAGATGTGAATGGGTGGAATCACGGTTGTGACCACGGGACCCAGTCTGAAGACTCTTGAAGCAGACTTTAGGCGGACTTTGGTGCGGCTAGTTTCAGAAAAATTTCAGCTTACTTTGTCAACAGGTTCCATGCAGCGGCTTGACTGAAGGCTGGAACAGATTCGCATCTTGCCGTTCTGTGGGGCTTCGAGACCAGCTTTACGAATTTGCTTGCCATATGTGCCTCGGGTTGACTGGAGCGGCTCTGTTTCGAGCCCTTCGATTGCAGCGACGGTGGTGAGTTTCCACTCCGATGGACCCCAAGACGACGATGACGTGGTCCTTCTATTCCTGGAGCTTCATGGCCTATGGCATGCGTGGACCAATTCAGAAGCGAAAGCGCGTTTCGTTGAAGGGCAGGCCTACCTAAAAGTTGAAACGAGGTGACAGCAGATTTACTGGACAGAAAGTACATGTACTCTGCTGATGTGAGCTAATGTGATGCAAAAACAGCCGCAGCTGATACTTTAGCATGTCGGATATCCGAGTGCACCAAGATTATGGACCTCACTATCCGTGTTGGTCCGACTGATCCATGAATCATATTGCGAATCGGCAGCAATTTTCATCTACGCTGATGACGAATTGTACTGGTTTTGCTCAAGGTGTATGACCCGCATTGCAGAAGAAGAGTAGCCTATTGTGCGAAGAAAGATGACGAGGATCTATTGAGCTCAACCAAAAGCTTGAAACGCTGCCCTCGTAGAGAGTCGTCCGGCTCAAGATTCATAAGAGGGCTCTTCCTCTGAGCACCTGCCTAGTGATAAAAAAAAGTCTACAGTTGGAGTCCGATCGAGTATGGAAAGTAGCGCTGAGTGGATATATTTACTTTATTACCGAAGTCGGGCTCCGAAGATTCCTGGAAATCTCAGATTATTCCTACAGCGTCCACTTTTTCACATTTGAAGTCAAGTTATTGAATTCACCTTGGAGGTCGAACATGTGCTTGAAAAAATTATTTTTTTTATGATTACATTCACTTGCCAATCCAGAGGAAGGTGCCTCCATTCTACAGAGTGAAACCTTCAATCTGCCTCCTGTGGAGTTTCGAGATGTTTTCAATTTGAAGACCTTCCACAAGTGATGAGGTTAATTTAATCAGTAGATGTGGTTTTCAAGTTCCGATTTGAAGCCATTAACCTCTCAACCTCTTCTATCCTGTTCTCGATCCTCATCATAGTCTGTCGAATCGAAGATTTCAAGATAATATAATTTTAAGCAAGCTTGAAAAGTTATTTATCTCTACCCTTGATATGATTTGTTGAATGGATCCAGCAACTTGAATATCTTTAATTACGAACTATGTCTCATCACCACGTTCGTTGTAAATGAAGATTACGATTTGTCAAGATAGGATAAAAGAAAATGCAACTGTAGACCAGGTTGACAAGATTTTTGTTTCTTCATCTTATTTACAGAAACCACTGATACAAGTTGCGCTCTCGGAACATTTCCATGGCTTCCAGTGGAGGCTGACGAGGACTTGTAGAAAAACTCAGCCAGTCAGCCAAACGGAGAGATCTATTTCTCGGCTGGGAGTAGCCGAAGTGTTACTCATATTGTGATCAGCTGGCTTATAGTACGCAACAAATTCTTGGTAACCAATCGTAATGAGCTATATAAATCACAGCGGGAACCGAGACCTGGTCAAACTAAGCGCTGCTCTTGATGTGCTCCTCAAAGGTTTTGAAGGCTTTGGTGAGATATTCCTTGGCCCGAGCGACCGCCTTACTAGCCGCGTCCTCAGATCCACCCTCATATTCTGCCGAGAACACCAACTTTGAAGTCTTGTCGTCGACTGGTACAATCTTGATCTCGTGCACCCACTTCGTGAAGCCGAAAGCACCCTTGTTTCCTCCCTCCACCTCCTCGGATACGGCCGAAAATTTCTCCAGATCGATACTCAGAAGCTTCTCCTTAACAAATGCGAATCCACCATTTGCTGTGGCCACTGAAAACAGAGATGACAGCGTCCGAGATTCCGAAGCATTAAATGTTGATGAAATCAAGAGCATCAACGCATTGCAGACTGAATACTTCAGTGTGAGATCAGAGGTTCACTAAGAATGACCCATATACCTCTGCACATTACATTGGTATATCATATCGCACATCCTGCTCAAGCTGATGCAATCACTGTGCACTAACTAATGTCAAAAACGACGACGACAGCAGTATGCTCGGAAGAAAGACGGCTGACGCTTACTGGGTGTGAAGTTGATCTGACGAATAGTGCCAGGCTCTCCTGCACCCTGGATCATCTCAATGCTAGCAATAGCCTCGGGCATAAGCTTGGGAAAGAGCGTGTTCTGATCCTTCAGACTGTTCCACATGGTGGGTGCAGAGACTCCCAACTCGACCTCATGCTGGAATGAAGGCATGATTGAGGGCTGGTGTAATCTGAGGAGTTCGAGGGGTCCAGAAGTGAGCTCAGAGATCTTTCGGACAGTGTTTGTGACTCCGAAACTGACGTAGATGATTGGCAAGTATTCTGGATGCTGGAATGCTCGAAGTATTGCAGCTTAAATAGTGGCCTTGTTCGGATGCCACTGTGGCCGTGGAACACAGGCGAGTGCACAAATCTTTTGTGTCTTCGGGGTAGGAGAAAAGCTTCACGTGGAATTCGATCATTGACTCTGCAGTTGACGTACGAGAACCTTCTCATTCTTTTCAGTGACTTGCTGCACGCTCAGCACCGGCATTTGACTACCTTCCCTCTGGAAACAAATCCTTTTCACATCTACGTCCTTTGACTGTTGTCCCTCGCTACAACTTTCAGCTTGTACGACGTGGTGTAAATGTTAAGCTTTAGGGCAGATTCCCCTTGTTGAAAATTGCCAACTTTCTCAGGTCAAGAAACAAGAAATATGAAACTTGGCATTCGTAGTTTACGAGCACGTTCGTGCTGTACTTTCTCATGGTGGGCAATGGGGCCTCTGCCAACCTTGGCTCTAATTGATACATCACAAGTTAGCCTGGAGTATAAGAAGCTACCGTATCAAGGCACGTCATATATAGGTAGAGGAAAGATTTTCCTCTATCCAAGCCCAATCTTTGCAAATCAGAATTCAGGATAGGGTCTCGTAAAAATCATTCTGCCCAAACTTGAATGAGCATTTGAGGAGAGAAAGTCGGAGGCTCAATGAAATCAAAGCTGCGGATTTGACTCGAGAACTATGAGGTATTCGGCTGAAAAGCAGGGTCCTAAGCTGGGTTGTTGACAAGTCATGTGCTGTTCGAATGCATGGTCGGTTTCTATGAAAAGCATCTCAGCCTTAGCTTTGCCTGTCCTCCTGAGCTCGCATCTGAACCTACAACTTTCTTCATTCACTTGACGAGTCATGAGAGTAGCCCCACCAAGAGTAAAAGCTTCTAGGCTCTTGTCACTTCACGTTCCTCATTCGCCCCAGAGCAGTTGACCATGGTAGGCTTTCAGGTGGGTTTGTTCCACCCAAAAGGTCGAGGTAGTCTTACCAGATCTCACCAGAAATCATCAAGAGAGAAGTCCAGACTCTCTGCCCTCAGATCAGTAAATTCAATCGTCATGATGCACACCAAAACTTACGATATCAGACAGATATTAAGGCATCTTATACCCTATCAAGACCCACCCGTTCGGTCAGGACAGGGTAGATTCTATAGCATCACCATGTAAAATATAAACTCTTGCTTCTATGATACTTCGATTATCTACATAATATGGGGCCTGTGTTCCTTCAAAACAATGTATAAACGTTTCAAATTATAATATTCAGAGTTTGGTTAAAAGTGATAACCATACCCTAGTATAGTAAGAGCGTTATGAAAGTGTAGGATTCTATGCATCCTATAACTCAAAATTTAGGCCAATAAGTGAACTCTTTACGAACCCTGTGCTTGCAAATGTAAAAAATTAAAAAGTTACATAAATTGAAATTCTCTGTGAAATCTATTACATGTGACTGAGCTTAAGAAATGCTGGACCAGGTTAGGAAACTTGTTGTTTGAGAGGCCAGCAGTAACTCCATCTTTGGCTCATGGATATGATATACTAAATGCTCCAGACGTGTTACCTCTGTCCCACGTACGACTAACAGACTAAGAGTACAGTAACACGTCGTGCCTGTCGACGTGTTGGCATCAGTCACGAATACTGACGCATACTTTGAAAGAAGATGGAAGTACACCTCCGAAAAGTGCATGCTTACCAGTGGACTCCAACTTTTCAGTTGTTCCCGGTCGCTGATCACTTATGTTCAGCACAATACTGCCTTCAGAGACGACGTATCGTAGTGAGAAGGTTCGTCTTGGTCTCTCTAGAGATGAGATTTGTTCTTTGCAGATGAGGACGTTTAGAGAGTTGCAAGTCACCAGCAATTTCGTATCAGAAATTTCGATACGAAACAGGCTTTGTTAATGCCTGCTAGTCATGTTCAGATCCTCAAACCTCTTTCTGATTTCACAGAGCTCGTTGACCAACCCTTAATGAATATAAGAATCGGTTTTCTCTTCGAGCAGCCCGCCACGACACCAGAATGTCAGCGCAGAGTTTTCCACGAAGCCACGAACGAATTCAGGAATACCGGTGCTGATGTCATTCACAGAATAACTTCCAGTCCCGACGCGGATCGACGAGCGTATTCTCTACCTGATTACAGTGTTACCGTCAGGCAACACTGAACTCGTCCTGTCGGTGATGATAAGATTTTAGATCTCAATTTGTGATGTTCCAGAACTCACCATCGCTCGCGTGAAGGAACACCTCTTTCTTCTGCTCTCAGGATCCCGAAAGTGACCTCAGAAATTTCCCATCGGTACGCATGCGTGTGGTTAAAAGGCAAGGATGATGCTTTTATCATCCTTGCCGGATCTGTGAGGATGGTGTCTCAGCATTGATGACTTCAATCCTTTTTCGACACTAACTAAACCCCACTCTCCAGCTTTTGGGCCAGAGTGAAACCTCCCCACCACTTCCACGTTCCACTCGATTGCATCGAGCACGGACATCGTGCTAATCAAGTCGTGTAGAGATTGACCACAGTACAATCTTCCTACAGGAATGTTCGAGAAGAAACCGTACAAGCAGTCCAATGTGGAGCTTCCGTCCACTAATAGAACACTTACACATAACAGAAATTCGAGCAAGCATCGTGCTGCAATCAGAACATCTGGTGCAAAAGCTTGCAAGTGCAGATGCATGTCTACCGGGTCGAAAAAATAAAGTGTTAATTAGACGGAGCAATCGATTTAGAGTAGCTTAGCTTGTAAAGCTGAAGCATTAACGATGAGAGTACCGTCCAAAAGCCGAAAGATGTACACAGGTGTAGGTGGGGATACTGCAAAACTGGCAAACCCTAATTTACAAGTAAGCGTTCATGATGGGAGTGCGACTTGTTTCGCGCAGGACAGAATATGGATACAGAAAGCTTCGGATCGGAGTGGCTACTACAACTACCCATTGCAAGTACTCTTCAAATACTCCTCTAATTCCTTGTATGCTTTGACGATGCCCTCCTTCGCCTTCTGCACCGCTTTCTCTACTTCGCTTTTCTTCCTTCCGCCCTCGTAGTACGTAGCGAAGTTCAACCGGCACCTGTCCGGGCCGATTGGGATCACTCTCGTCGTGCTCACCCACTTGCTGAAACCCTGAGCTAGATGCCCGCCCTCAACTTCCTCCGATGTCGCAGTGTATCCTGGATCGTACAGAGTCACGAGCTTCTCCTTCACGAACGTGCCCTCGACAGCAACCTTGGATCGAGAGAAGAAAGATTTCTTCTTCCCTGTCGCTCACCATCGGGCCCAGTATACAAACACCAGTCAATTGACGAAACTTGAAACTTCCGGAACATCTCTCTCTCTCTCTTCCTCGAATTTCTTAACGATGGAGAGATAGAATTTACTGAAAAGAAAGCAAGAAACGGCATGGTCACTTACTTGGGCTGAACATGATGAGTCGGACAGAGCCGGGCTGCCCTTCAAATCCTGACAGGTGCTCGACGCTGCTGATGGACTCCGGCAAGATTTGGGGGAAAATTGTATCTTGCTCCTTCAGAGCTTGCCAGACGGCGGCGGTAGCTACATCTAGTTCGACCTCGCACTCGAAAGTAGGCATCTCCGAAGATTCTAGTCGTGGCCAGATCAATCGAACAGATTAAGTACAAAGACGGAACAGAAGAACACAGAGCAGCAGCAACGAGCCGGTTTGATTTCACAGCTGAGTTCTGAGAGCCCCTTCTTCTCTTGATTTGTTGATTTCAGTGTCAATTCTGGAAATAGGCTGCAGTCTTCACATTGTGACGATCGATGAGTTCAGATTTCTGGAGAGACAGAGGTACCGGAGTTAGCGAGCGGAAATAAACCCCATGTCATTGCGCCACATCGATGCCCATACACGAACCTTCAGGTGCGCTCTGACATGAGTCCAGGCTACGCTCCAAGTGGTCCACTGCCCGCAGGGCACCAACTGTGCCATTTCGTCATTTGCGTCGGACGAAGATATCTGAAGCTGTACCTACTGATGCACACTCGGCACAGTTTGAATGTGACCCGCTCGTTTACGCCAAGGCCGAAAGGTGTAAGAACTCGGTCATGATTGTAGTAAGACAATACACAAATCTGGGATTGAAAATTCCCAGGGCCCAAAAGCTGGCCCACTGGTGTGGCAGCAGAGTACAGAAATCCTGACCAGGATATCGTAATCTTTCACGATTCTACGGCAGTTGCAGAGGTTTATCCGTTTTTAAGCCACTTCCGTGAGAGATTGTAGAACTAACCATGCTCCTTCGCCATGGGAATTACCGTCCACGTCATAGCAGTGTATGAAGTGGATAGAGCTGTCTGTCTGCATCAGTCTATGCTTATGCACTCATGATGTATGCAAGCCATGACTGGAGCCTGCATCTCAAAATTTCTGTCCTCCGAATCCAAGCCCGTGGAGGTTGGTCGCTGACGGTGTCAGACAACAACTCCACCTTGTCATACTCGTTCAGACAAGCTTTCAGAAAAGTTCTAGACGATTCGTTCGATCTGTGCTTGACTTTCCCGAGAAACTCTGCTATTCACACCACGGGCATGGACATTTTCTCACTACCGTGACCTTGTTCTCCTCGCCACCAGCAGACTGAGAGTCGATTAGCCAGAACTGCAATCGTCCATTCTTTGTCGCTTGTCAATTTATCCATCGCTTCAATTCTCAGGACCCAGGTACAAAACTTACAGACCAAGTAACCCCGTCTCTTACAGTACAAACAAATCTGCGCTTCCCAGATCGCACTTTACGAAACAAAGCGTTGCTCTGATTATCAAACCGTCAGTGTCTTCGTATTAGTTGATGTGGTACACATGGTTAGCTGCTTGCGTGATAATCTCGATGGTGACTGGCTAATTACAGAGCACTTGCTTTCTACGTGAAGACGGCTTCAGTAGCAACCTACAACTCAAGCTTCCAACGGCCAAGCATGAGCTGATCTCAGTCTAGCAAGCAAACAAACCGCCATGGCGGTTACTCCTTAAAAAGCTCCTCTTTTTCCAGTGCTCAAGTGGACTCTGCTCTGCAACGCTAAGGTGTAGTTCGTCTTGTGTTATCATCAAGGCACCATTTGTGCGAGTAAGCACGAAGCAATCATTTCGCGAATCGGGAATTCGATAAGGACCTCGTGTCCACTCTCTCAAGAATTATACTTGACCTCTATCAATATCCTAAAACGTAGGTTCTAGTACTAGTTGACTTGCAACCTTGGATAACTCATCGTGCACCTTTAAGGACCTGGTGAGGGAGGGCTTCTTTGATCGATCGATCACAAAGTCGACCTTTCATGTTTCGTTCGAATATTCGTCACCACCCATGTCTTTCTGGATTGTGTGAAGCCACTCGGTGAAACCATGTACGCTGATATAAACAGCTGATAGCTCACCCTTCTAGCGCTTGCGATTTCGCGTAGTAGTTGTCAGAATCGATACCGAGCATCAGTTCCGTCACGAATCCATCTTCGTAATCCACCACACGCACAGAACAACAATACAACTGATGCGACTCCTTACGATGCGCTCTAGATGCACATCTGATACTTTTAATCATCCTCTGGTGCCAAGAATGGCGACGTTTCTAGTGACAATGAGCTCATCAGAACCTACAATCACGACTACGACAAAATGAGGCAATCAAACCCGCAATTGATCATTGCACCAGAAAGTAGTAATTCGTTGTTTTGGAGATCACTTGGGCCAAAGTTCATGCGACCCGTTTGCCCACTTGAACGTCTGGAATGAGAGTGACCTGGTGCTTCAAAGATGATCATATCGCAGATGCAGGAACTGTCATGTCACCTTCATGCTTGATTTCAAGGATTGTGAGCAAGTAAGTGAACGTAACAATTGGCAAGAAGCACTGCACTGATGGATGTAATTATTGAAGAAGATGAGTGACTTCGAGCTATTTTTACGAAATCGCTCATTTCTTCAGTGCGTGAGGAATATGGAAGAGATACCCGTTGACGCTTGTCTATAAGAAACTACAGCACAGAGTTAACTATCCTCTAGGACGGGGCGACCCCATCCAGTCGTACATGGATGAAACGAAATGGGTAATGCGTATCTCCCCCAGTATCAAGACAATAAGAATTTTAGTAGCTGAGTTTTATATTTCCAAGTTTTCTGGACAAATGATGTTCTCAACCATAGTATCCAAAGAAACATTACAAAACTTTGCTTCACTGCGGATGAACTTTTTGTGTTTAAAATTATTATTAAATAGGTATGTGGTGATTAGTAACCCTATTTTTCATGTTATTGATGAATAGAGTATTTCATGATTTCATCCATAAATTTAAAAAATTTTGATACATAGTTTTAAGATATCCAGAGTTTTAATTTGATCATAGATAATTGTAAATCATGACGAGGATTCATGAACCAATGAAGTGAATTGATTTTCTTTAAAAGCTGATAAATTCATTTCTTTAATTTTGATGTTTCAAATATATCATCCATTAAATTATGAACATTATTTTATGAATCTCATTGTCATTTCATTACTTCAAACTAAATGTAACGTATACATCACACTTAGATAATTTTATATATACATGTTAATGCTAACATATATCTTTTTTAAAGTATGTAATCAATCTATTATAACATCTAGACTACTAAAATAAGAAAATTTCTTGAAAAAATAATCCAATTTTGGTATAATCAAATTCATTTTATTACTAATAGACAACTTTAAGAGAGAGGATTGTGAATAATGATGGTAAAGAATTACGATATTATGATTATCTGTAGTTAATTATTGTTGAAAAAAACGAGATTTCCTGAAACATGAACTTCTTGAGCCTAAAAGCCGACTCTTAGAGTTCAAATTTAAAAAAAAGGTCATCTAGAATTCTTGGAGCGAAAAAATTTGGTTGGTTTACACTATTCAGTATCCGTTGGTCGAGTAGAGAACCGGGACTAAGAGGTAGGCCAACACTCTTTCCAAATTTTGTGTGCGTCATGAAATACGAGTGGAAGAAGAATAAATTGTTTAGCATAAATATAACATAACTAGTATCCAAAAAGTATACGTCTTATAAGAAAACTGTTTTGCGTTGGCGTCCTATGTGATTGATTAGAAGAGATCGAGTAATCTAGCCAAAATCATGAGAATGGTGGTTTTATTTATTTGCTTCCTAGTTTTCATCCAAATTTTGACTTGCGTTGAGATTTATAAACACCTAACCAAAATAAAATGATAATGATAAATAGATCAAGCTCAGTACCCAAAGTTCAAAAGGCTGAAAAATATAATATAAACAATCCAACTCCAACTTAGGAAAAAACCAAAAGAATTCCCTAACTAGTGCCAAGAGCACTAGAATGTTAACTAATAAGGACTTAAATCATAAGGTTCAAATTGAAACAAAGAATAAAAATTCTCAACAACAACTTTATGAGCCATTCTAATCTCTACATATCTAGTACAAGTAAGAAATACATGCTCTTCATCGTCAACTTTTCTTCCATCACATAGTCTACAAATACGTTCACTACTATCAATGTTCAACCAAATCACTTCTTCAATCCCAAGACTAGTAAATACTATTCTATGCCTAGCAATAATATGACGTAAAGAAGTAGAGATCTCTACAAGTAAGTATCTTTGCTCACCATAAACAAGCATGAGATTCACATGAAGTTTTTAAAACCCCATTTTAGTGTTTTGTCTGCTCCAAATAATGTTGAAAAATTACTCTTTGATACGCTCACATACGGCAATAGTTTGCAAATCTCAATCGAATTCCGTCACATTCCACTTCAAGACCAAGTCACCACATCTGCAAACCACCCCCTTGGAACATGTAGCATGCAAAGCTTCAAGAGAAAGTCAAGATATATCACTCTTTTGACGTAAGTGATAGTCAAAAAGAGAGCTTCAGCCTCAAGAGCTAGACAATTTTTTTACGCAAGAAGAATAGCATATGAAGTGTGGGTACTCACACCCAATTCTTCTTGTAAGAATATCTTTTGCACCCTCTTCAAATGCTGCCAACCTGTCTTCTTACAACCAGTATCCCACACTTGTGTTCCATATAAGACAATGGTGAACACTAAGCTGCTGAATAAGAATTTCCTAAGACCCTAAGACACTAGAGCTCCTCCAATAGAGAGTAACACGTTTTTTATAACCAAATGGGAATCGTCGAATGCGATCAAGAGAATATATCAAACAATTCCACCTTCAAAATGCAAGCATAGTTGAAAAGGAAATGGCTATTTGTCACTCACTCTACTATATAGAGCAGAGCTATGTGATATAATCTTTGATGTGTGAATTAATGTGTAAAGTGGAGAAATACACATTATAATTGAAATATACCCAAATTGAAATATAACCAACCCTTCCCATATTTCTATTCACTATGATATTGTGGCTAGTATTAGTTCATAATTGTTATAAACGTGGAGATCATTTAATACACAACTCTAGTTTCAATTAGTCTGATATAAAAAAGAACATACATCTCTTTTAATTTTACCATTATAGTAAATGGATAGATCATTCCGGAGCATATTGTAATTGGGAATTGTATTTTTTACGAGTCCAAGAAAAATTTAGAAAAAAATTTGATAATAGAACACAGAGTATGTTTATCTAGTGAGAGCAAAAATGAGGTGTCAAGTGTAATACCAAGTTAGGAATTAATTACTGTAAAGGTCTGGATCGTGATACCATTGGGGCTGGACCGTGGTTGTGGTTTCGGTACCGCGAAAAGGGTAATCCGGTGACGAGTACGATGACGATGTTGCCGTTGTCGATAGGCTGACAATATCTCGAGGACTTATGAGATTTGTGTTGTCGGGAAATTGGGATATACGTGGAGATGGTCCAGAGATGCGAGTGGAGTAGCTCATCAGTGTAGAAACATTGCGATGATGGAGTGGCGTTTGTCGAGGAACCGATTCGATGGAAGTTGTGCTCGAACTGGTCCATCCCCGATTCCCCGACTTGGATGCTTTTCTCCATCTTATACTTCTCGTCGGTCTTTCGTTTCTATCACGTCGTCTGACTCCTCTTCGTCGTGGTCGCGAATTCAGTGGATGTCGATAAATACTCTGCAACCTTGTCCTCGTCATCGTTTGTGTATGGGGTTTATGATTTGTCCAAGCATAGAATTCTGTCACTCAGTGGATTCAGTTACAGCAAGCGGAGTCTCGCCCGGCTAGCAATTAGCTCGTATGGCTCTAGCCCGGCTGGGCCCTCAGCGTCCCAATCCGGCTGGAGTTCCAACATGTTCTGCTTCAGCCATCCCCAAGTCCAGTGAATAAAGTGAGATAAAGTGCAGTTTTGCATGTCGGGGACTTGTGGCTCCTGCCGTCGGTGGGAATTTTTAGAACCTGACTTATTTGGGTTCTGAATTGCTTGCATTGCACAGACATTCTGCCTCAAGCAGACTTTCTTCGCTGTAGAGATGCTCCCTTTTAACATCTCTACAGCGAGCGCAATGTGGTAGCAGGAGCAGATATTCTTCACACGAAATCTGCTGCACCATGACTGGTCGTGATCTGTTTACGGTTTGGGTGAAGCTGTTGGGGACGATTGCCTATTGGAATTCAAAATACCTCACGATGCATCTATCTCAGTAAAGGGAGCCGTGGGATGCGAAGGTGATCCAGAAGGTCTTTTAAGCACCCTGAAACTGAGCTGATCCCTTTTACAGACGAGTTCCAGGAAGAGGCCACCTTATCTGAGGGGCCAGCACATTTTCCTCTGATTCCGACTATCTTTTGCTGAGCCTGTGTCTTCGCTCAGTTATGGTGGATTGGGTTGAAGAACGAAATCCAATACAGCTGTGTACGATTGCAGCAGCTGGTCTGATTTGATATTCACACCATTGAGAGGTTTTGAAATGCTAGCCTCTTCCTACTTCCCCACTCTTCAGCTCTCGTACAAAACCGAAACTAAACAGTCTAGATTCTTTCTATTCTGTGTAGATTGTATGACCAGGGTAGAACGAACATGAGTAGTCGGAATGTCCATCTAAATAATGCCCGGAGTCAGGTCAAGCAGAGAGAGTTCGATACTGTGATGGTAGACGAAGCCTGCACGGACCCAATGCTCGATAGTCCCCCTATGCGAAGAATCCAGACCAATTTCAGTAGACAACTTTCACGATGCTGCATCACCCAGGACAACCGCGAAGGAGGAACCACGGAGTCTGCACGCGCAACTCCGGAATGAGACAAGGTGTGTCTGATTGAGCTCTTCTGACGCTTATAGTTTCATATCAGACCACCGTTTTCAGGTGACCTCCCTAAGTTTCAGGTGTGTCGAGATTGAGATTAAAGAGGTTTATATTACTAATTGTATCCTCCAAAGGTCCTTCAAAACTAATTAGCTTACTTATCCATCAGTAGAGGTTTTACAAGCTGAAGAATCTCCATCGTCATATTCTTCCCGGTTAACTTAACTGATGATTTTGGTAAGGTATGGTTGAAATTTCATGAAAAATATGGTCAGCAGAACACTACTTGAAATCATTCCGATACATATGTGGCTTGATCTTTAAACAGTCAAGAAGGCAGTGATGATGGTAGTGAGATCTCGGATGATGAATCGAGTACATGAGATCATCGATCGAAGAAGCTTGGTCTGCGTTGAGTAGATTGTGGACAGGTTGTGAAACTCCACCCTCAGTACCTAAGAGCTTTTTCCTGCGAAGGAGTCCAAGCCTTCTGGAACCATGCCACACTTACAAGGTCCTTATACACATGAGATGCTGACTCTACAGCCTGCAACAAATCTTAAGTTGTAATAGTGTCATTACTGACCAGTCAAGCTCACATTGTGACCACCTTGATGATTCTTGCTGACGAACTTGTCAGACGTATGTGCACTCTTTTGGTTTCGTTCCAGTGCTACTGAACAGTACTGCTGGCATTTGAAACTTCGTGTTCTGAAGTTGTACAGACAAGAGACCGTTCCTGATCTCTCTAAAAGGTTGAAGACTAAGGTCTTAAAAATGTCGATCAAGATCTCATTTGCTTCTAGGCTAGCTGTGAGTAGAATTTATAGCTAAAAATTAGCTATTTCCTCTGGAATGTTAGTGTTGTAAATTAGAAGAATACGGCCGTATAAGAATTCAAGACGGGACCGCAATAGGTATGGGCGTTAAGGGTTGTCAGTATTATCTTCATTCATCATGCATTCCAAAGTGCTGCTGCAATTGTCATGTGATTCACGGGCCCTGTTTATATTCTTATACATGTGTGATGTAGAGAGATGTGTTCACTCTAAACTCCACTCCATAATATTACAGGCTCTAAGCGTGTTTCATTATGCTTGTTAACATTCTCTGTATTTTACCATAAATATGACATATCCTGCATGCTCTCTATTCACTCAGTATCATGGTATCAGGAATTCACATAGCTGGAATGTTGCTGCTCACAGCTGACAAGTCATAGCATGAGGATCATGCTAATTAAAGAAGAGAGAAAAGTAGACTACTCAGCATGGTTGTGTGCGTGAAATAGTTTGATCAATACGAGTTCTGAAGCTTATAGTGATATACAAGTACTGTCCTTTCAATTTCATTGAAGAGGTCAGTTTATACTTAACTATTAGATACTGTACAACTATCTCTTAATACCATTTCCCGTCACGATGAACAAATTGCATGAACAAAACCGGACGCTCCTTGTCGAGAATATTTTTGAGTATATTGGAGACCTTATCGTGAGTTTTATAGTGATTGATTGTCAATATGAAACCTATAATTTTCCATGTTTCATTGTAGTGTAATAGCAGTGTGTTGAGATTTCTGTGGGAAATATTAATTTGTATCAGGTGATCGCGTGTTCCTTTGTAAAGAGAATCATCGGACCTCATTTAGATACGAGGTTGGAACATGCATTCAACTTGACATCCTCGTCCAGATTTTCCAGTGATTTCATCTAGGATAGAGTTGTAAGTGCAGGAAATGAATCTTGGTGCATATGTATGAGACGATATGTTGATCCAGTGTTGCAAAGGGACAACAAAGTTGGAATGAATCGCTTACTTCTCCAAGCTTCTATCCTGTAACCTCCACAGAACTCTCACACGGAGTAGCCCTTTGAGCAAGATTCCTTGTACAAGTGCACTAGGTTACTGAAACTCAGCATGGAACTATCCTCAAAATACAGATCGGTGCAGATAAAATCACACCACAGGGTGCCAAACAACCAGCAGAAAGTTTCTGCTGGGATGTTTCTGCCAGAAACACCCAATTCCCTCCTATAGTATCCCACAAAGATAATGTTTCAAAATTTTGTATCTAACGTCAAAGGAACGAGGCACTCAAAAAGCATGCCCTCCACTCGTATAACTTTACAAGATCCCTCCCTTCTGTGAGCGGTTCATAGTATTTCAATCAAACAGAGGCATGAAATACATCCAGATCTCTTTTCCACGATTACGAAAGAACTCAATTTGATGCACATCCTGCATCAAGGTTTATAGAAGGGAGGGGCTAGTTATACTTCACTTTATTGAACCACATCATGCATCAGGGTTTATTGAACCACATCATGCATCAGGGTGTATAGAAGGGAGGGGCTAGTTATACTTCATTTTACTGAACAAAGGTATAAATTATATCCAGTTATTTTTTCCGGGCTAATTATCTTTCACCTTATTGATGCATCAGGGTTTATAGAAGGGAGGGGCTAGTTATACTCAGTTTGGGCTAATTATACATCACGTAACTGAACAGCGCGCTGTGATGGATGAGAGCTATCCCTATGTTTACTAGAGCTCCGTGATATAACCTTTGAGGCACATAGAAAGGGGGAGAAATAATGCACATTAGAATAGGGTGAGTGATAACTGACCGCTCCCTTATAGAAAATTGTCTTTTTATTTATAATTCAACAAAGAAGTTGAACAAAAATGTGAGACACATTTCTTTATTAAAACCCTGGAAAAAGTTCAGCAACAAATAGAAACATCGAATGGAAATATCAACTATAAAAACTTAAAAATATACTATAATATTTTGAGTTGAGTTGAAATATATGAAAAGTTTCAAAAACTCAATAATATAATTTTCAGACTTTGGAATGTTACTAATGTCAAAATGATACTTAGTCGTTGAATATTGTATTTGAAAATGTATTGATCATCTATTCATTTGGAATGATGTAATTTACATGCCTTGATTATATAAGCAATTCTTAAATATGTTAAGAATGAATACATAAGATGTTTAATTTTCAGTTATCACAATATCTGAATAATTATTGAAAATTATCGATTTGATAATAAATCACTAATTTAACTAAATCAAGTTTTATTATAAAATTCTTAGCAATTTATGCCATAGTTTGTCAAACTTCTTGTTAAATTGCCATTTATAATAAAAATAATATCATAATTACTTGACAATTATAGTTAAAAAATGTGTTATAAGTATTATCAATATATAGCATAGTGATTAGCAAAGATAAAAGGATTATCCTCTGTAAAATGATATATATATATATATATATATATAGCTCGTATGTTTTACATTTTACATACAAAAGACATCTCATACCTATATAAAAATATAGGCATGAGATGTCTGTTTTTTAATGATCATTTTGATTTCTCATTATGTCTAGATGATTGTAACTACCACAGTTTACAAATGCATATGTACTTTGAGAGTCCAACTGTTTGTTTTTCTAGTTTTAAAGGAATTTGGAAATGTGTAGTTCAATTTTGAGATACTTTTGAAAACATGAAAAGGTATTTATCATAATATGAAGTATATCATATAACTCTCTTTAGGTTATTCAGGTTCTCATTGTTCCATTTAGTAAGTAGCAAGTGTTACACTTAGAGTTGATATCTGATGCTTCATAAGTTTTTCCTTAGGTTCACTCAGATCAATATAATATCTTAGATTTGTCTTTATTCACTTACATCTATATGATATCTTCGATAGTATCGTACATCATTTTTCATATGCTATTGGAGCTACCCCATGTTAACCGATTGGTATCATACCATGTAGGAATTCATGAATCTTCCCATCCTTTTTGCTATATTCCTGTTAGGCCGTAGACTTTACGTTTCTTTTCTTTGTGTCCTGGCATATGTATTACCTTGTTTGACTCATATATTCGTTATGTGAATCATGGATATTCCATACTCCAGTTGCGTGGTGGGAAATTATATAACCTCTGTTGCCTCGGTTAATGCTACATGCTCTTTTATAATCTACGGCATGTGGATTTGATGTGAGTGAGGATCATTACGTTGCTTTCTTTGGAGGACTTGTATACGACCGTTTATGAGGACATAATTCAATTTGTCGAGATGCACTTCCACACTTCAAACTCTTCCACTGATGAGACTATACCTCACCAACTTCAGGGAAATACAAAATCATGCCACGCTCAAACGAGATTCTTTGGGTGCCATAGATTACTAAATCTTTGAAAGAAACGTTCGGCAATACGATTTTTTTGGTCAGAACGACAGTGTAAACTAATATCCATGTGAAAGATCATCTTCAGATGCATGGGAATTTCGTAATTATCTGGATCAAGAGACTTCCTGTCAGACTCATCTGACCCTTACGACTTTAGCATCAGATGTAAACTCGTATGAATGGACCTCTCGATATAAGATGGCTACATCATCAAGGAGACCGATGATCCGACATGCACTGTGACTTGCCTGATTGTTGTGTTTACATTGTCTTCGCAAAGAAGGTCAACGAAAGTGATGCACATTTGGCTGCAAGTGGAAATCTTAAAGGGCACTCTTCACGCCATGTTCGCTTGATGCGAACGCATTACTTCCACGATTGCATACACTGAAACTCGAACGATTGGCTAGATACTAAGAATCATGAACTTATGTACTGGTGGAGTGGTCTACGTTTTTATTGTCACAATTTACCGACATTTACGTTTGTCCACAACCAAGGATTCTCTTCAGATGATTGGTTCTGATCCACAGATACATTGTCAGCGTGTATATTGGGAACTGCCTTCTAGAATCGCCAAATTGTTTAAGATCGATTGAACAATCATGCAACAATCTGGGGATCTTCACATATTTTGGTCTGAATAGTCATGTCCCGCTGTCAGACATCTGTAAGTTGTCTCGTAGTGCCTCATCAATCCTTACAATTGAAAGTAAATACCACGTCGTAACCGGGAAAATGTGCTTCAAAATGGTCTCCACACTGTTCTGAGTGAATCCATATGATAGTGTGTGATTTCATGATGATAGCTTTAGACGGAAGAGAACAATCTGCGTCACTGCGAATGTCTTGCTCAATCCCTCCCCACCTACCTTACCGATCTCTCCCTACACACTGTCCCTCCGAATACAGCACAATTCTCTCAGCATCTAATTCAATACAATCCCAAATTCGGAGGTGATCAACTGCTGGCGACCCTCCTCGCAATCGTGGAACAAAAAGCTCTCGGCCTCCCTTCTTCGCCTGCTCTCCACCACGAAATCGATCTGTTCGCACAATCCCGCAACAATGTGTGTCACTGTAAAGGCACCATAATGACATAGCTTGACTCCAACCCATGTTTAGGCGTTCACTGCAGGCAGCGATAAAAGACAGGGGATTTTCTTTTAAAGGTATGTTTGAATTCTGCATCATGTACGCTTGTGTTTCGGTTTTCATCTACGTAGGCATATCTCCGTAGAATCAACAGTTCATTGTCTGACCAACTTTCTCTGCAAGCTGCAATACAACTTTCATAATGCATACCACAGTGTATACCATCTGGACAAATACCAGCATGTGTTAGTAGAGACCTCCTTGTCCTGCGCTGAAGATCATCAGAGTGAGGTAAGTTTGCAAGACTGTACTTTCCTTGTTGATAGACTGTTTAGTCAAGAAGGGACACATTAGCCGCAAAAGAAGAGAATAATGACAACCTTATAGACAAGGTAGAGAACAGATAGAGAGGCAACTTCGTGGATCGAGTTTAGTCTCTCAATATATTATCTTATGAGCTACAACCCTTTAGAATATAGCCTTCTATACAAACCTTTATACAAACCATAGCAAACAAATAATGATTTGCTCTGGTACGCATAACCTTTGCTGAATTGGACATAATGAGGTTCAGTAAATTTGCTTGATCTAAATAATATAATTTTACAATTCTCCAAAAAAAAAAACTGTCTCGCTAGAACCCTTCATTGAAAAATAAACTCACAATACTTGCTATCTGGATGTGAAAGTGGTGACATCTCTTCTACTTCACGGAATGTCTTACGGAGAGATGTACTGTAGTGCAACATCATTTGTTCCTTGCAATCACAACGTGACACTAAAAGCATTATGCATTGATCGTATTCCCTTATTTTCAGTCCGGGTAATGGTAAATGGTAAATAGATCAAGCCCGTGGGACCCAAAGGGTCAAAAGGCTAAAAAACACAAT